AACCAATATTTTTAATCAAATCACTTTTTAATTACTTGTTTCATCCCCATTATGCATGCATTGTGGGAAATTACACTAATATTAACATTGTTCTCGATAGATTAGGCGTTATTACTTTCAGGCAATAAGTATTATGGATTACTCGCGCTACAACTCGGGTAACGTGTCCTTTAATGCAAATTCACCATTTCATCAGTTTGAATGCTTGATATTGGCATTGACACCTGATAATACGAATCCCTGATCATCATAGATACTGTGTCCATTTTCCCCCAAACTCCTCCTCCATCTCTCTTAGTGCTTTATTTCGTATCCGAGTGATATACATCAATGCTCATCCAGAAGAGTCACTCTGGTAACGCTTTTGAGTAGCTAAGTTCACTAACGCCAAATTGACGTGGGTCACCTTACACTTTTTTGCCATCAGACTGAACTTAGCGTGCAAAGAGAGAGGAGATAATGCGATTACGTACCTTGTGTTTTGGCAGATGCTCTCTGCCGTTCTCTCTCGTAGTATAGCACTCAATTAGATTTCTCTCTGGAAAATGAATTAGTGTGGGCGCATGTTAACATACGCACCTCATCTTCTTTCCCTTTCTCTCAAATCTAGCACCGTGACTGACCTTAAAGCACTTGGCTAAGCCCTGCCTGCATAGTTAGACGATTACTAATTGTTTGCGCCTCTAATTATTGATGAAATACTTTGGTACTTTTACTGCTTCTCTTTTGCAAAAGACTTGACAAATCAAGCTACCATATTTACAGCTGATTTGGTTTAGTATTACTCTCCACCCTTATTTCAGTGGCAAGCAGTTTACTAACGACTGGCTGTAGGAGTGCACTTCTATATTCTTGTACTAAGCGATCTAAGTCCCACTAAATGAATCCGAGCCTAAGAGAGATAGCTTGCTCATATATTAGCTTAAAGTGGAGCGAACTAGACTGGACTACTAACGATGTGCGGTTACTGCATTCGGGATGAAACTAGTAGTTGTTACATTCATTGACATGAAAAATACAAGCATGTAAGCCTTCTTTTTACTCACATTTTTAAGTAGACACATCGGATAGCCCTACACGCACGCCAATCCCATCGATTGCATTTGGTCGTCCTGTGCCCTAACCGCAGTGGGTGGCCTGACCACTAAAGCATCCTGCCACAATATCCGTCCTCCGTCTGTCCCTTCACGCGGGCTATCCGATTGTCAAGAGGATGATGTATTACTAGTAACAATAGTATACAAACAGAAATTTAACCAATTCACTTGCAGCCGCCTTCGGCACATCCACAGAGAGTGCGTTAAAATGATGTTTAGTGACGATTACTTTGGCTTTTGATGATCTTGCTTCTGATGGCTTCAAACTGGCTATCTGAAGGTTTGGTAACTCCAGTCCTAACATCATTCGACAACACAGACCAAGTGAACCGAGTAATTTACGATGTTAATTCTGTTTCTAGGCTGATATAAACAAATACGAGTTTATGTGGGCTGAAGTTAGGCTCGTTCCAATCGTTCCTGTGAAGCTGCAGCTCCCTATGGCTGTAATTTTCAGAGAAGCGTATGCTAGCCTTCGATGTGATATGGAAGTTACGAGTTATGCATATGGAACCATTTGTGATACGCCTAATATTTATCCAAGCTTTTGTGTTTAAATTGCTCCAGCCTCTTATTTTACCTCCGATTGACTACACCAGTGAGGAGGTTTCGGAGTTCACATATTGATGGCATCGGAATGGAAAGGATATGCCTTAGCCAATACGATCATCTGCCTGTTTTTCACACGCTAAGTGCATCACCGCTGATCACTCAAAACCCCTTGCCTCCCGCATGTGCAGACACCCAGACGCAGGCGTTAGGTGCCACGCAGGCAGCCCAACGATGACTCAGCCCACACTTATCGATCTTTGATTAACTTGTGGTGGCACCGTTGAGTTGCTTAAACGCGCGATGACTGCACACACACACGACTTACCTTGCGGCGTATGTCAAAACACCTCTCCCCTTTCATCGCAATTCATCTCCCTGATTTGAAGACAATTTTGCGGATTGAAGCAATCAAGTAGCTAGGTGCAAATTAGTTCTGATGTTGATAATGAACGAAGCAATTAGCGATCGACAGATAACTACCTCTCGTTATTAAATCCATGAATAAGACGCGAAGGAGGTGTATTTCCTACCTTTACCATTTTTAATTCCACTCACTTCTGAGGTTGCCTGAGCTGCTGTCCTAACGAGAGAAGACTCAGCGTGTTCACCTTCGTCATGGCGAGTGTTTTTGTTTTACAGCCATGCTATTGGATAGAACCATTGAGGTGACCGATGACGGCACCTAAGGACATTCTGCCAACAGCGACCAATTGAAACGTGCCCTTATTTTCTGGCCATGATGTTAACTATGCTGCCTCGAGGGCTTATTGGGTGAGATTTGTCAGCCGGGCTGTGTGTACCACACCGGAGTCAGCGTCGATAATGCAAATGCATTTGCCTTGGCAGTAAATAAGGCGAAGAAATTTCACAAATAGTCAATTTTGTTTGTGAATTTTAAGGTCATAGAAATCCGATGTTAGCTCAAAAATGTAATTCTGCAGCACGCTATTTTTGCGTTGGAAATTGAAATACAGAATTTTCCGGCAGCTCGGGAATTAACTTTGGAGAGATTTTGGCTATGCTTACTTGTGGATAGAGAGTTTGATGGGTACAATCAGCATTATTAAGCAGAAAGGGATTCGCTTCATGGATACATTTTGTCCATCACTGCTGATTGACTTGGATAGCTAAAGAGAATTGCAAGGTTACTTACTACGAGGCAGAAGATAGTCAACATTTATGCCTAGGTGAGACGAATAAAATGGCGTGTAACAGGTAGGTTGGAGAATAGCCATGTGCTAATTGACGAAATCGTATGCTGACCCTAACCCATTGATTACCTAGTTGAGGCAGTATCGTGACAACACCTTTCTATTCTCATAGCCCACTGTGACTTCAGTCACTCAACTATGTGCATGTTTGTCTTCAAAGAAAGCGTTGTAGTCTGCGTACAAATTCAATCGAACCCTTTTGTACCTTTTAGCTGGTCTTAAGTGCAGACAGGAATTAAAGTCGATGTCAGCAGATCGAATCTTGACGAGTTGTCCGAAGTCGTGCACATTTTAGCGTTAGTGAGTACATAAACTGCCAATTGCACTGCGCATTATCATTGCGCTTGCGTTAATTTTAACCTCAAGTTTTAGTTGGAACACAAGACTCAATTGCAAGACAAAACGTAGATGATTTTGTAGAAAAAGCCGTCAGCAGTGCAAGCGTGACCCGAAAGTACACACCGCGTTCAACTTGGTGTGTGAGATCGACCTGATGGGCGCCATCATGTGGCTGTTGTTAATGCAAGTTTCTGTTTCGCTCTTCAGTTATATCGTTTGATGCGACGCTCTAGTTCGTGAGCTAACCGTAGGGGCAATTGCAACCGCTATTGAAGGCTGTTTGAGATCAGTTCTGATCTGAGTTGCAGGACATTTCACATCTCTAGTATCATTGAGAATTGATGCCATTAGCAGGTGATCACTAGAGCATAATAAAAGCAGGCTCATCCAGACGATCTCCAAAGCGCATTTACTAGGTTTTCTCACCGACTAAACAATCTCAAATGCACTCTCCCAACCCGCCAGTTCCGGTCGTCAACACCCCGCAATTGGCTGGGGCCATAAATAGTGAGGCAAACTCAAAACTCAACTACGACATAGTTTGAGTGACATTTTCTCACAAAGTACACTACAGTGGGCCAGGTTACAGATACTAAGTGAACCAAATTGGGAGAGCAAGAGACGAAGACGCCATGCACTAAGACGCTACAACCGATTGACACATGGCATGAGTAGAGAGCCAGAAAGGCACACACCACAGAGAAGGCTGCGGATAGGCTTGCGCCGTCGACAACACCAACTTGCATCCACATTGTGATTACCCAAACCATTGGATACGAGTCGGTAACCATCTGCGTGCGACTTTACACGCCTAAGCACCAATAAGCCAAGGCGACCCCACCGGACAGACCCATTCGCTAATGCTTCACCAATGATTGAAGACTCGTAATACGCACGGACCAATATATTTTCAATCAAAATCTGCATTGGTTCAGTCGCTCGCGAGGCGAGAGAAGAGAAGTCGATGCACCGGCAATCCGGCGTCCAATTCCCTTCAAGCTTGTTGCAAAGCTGTGTGGAATGGCGTAGCTGGAGGACTGCGTCGCTTGCTGGTCGCGCCCTGCTGACGGCCTATCATTGCAATGCCACATGGAGCACGGTCCAATGGGCGAGAACTTCACACCACATGCACCAATGAAGGCTGCAAATGTCACCACAAATAGCAGCTCGAGGGTGGAAAAAATTATTAATAATGAATTCTAGCCTTGGAAGTCATTTTTCAAGGGGACTGTTCGCTTCTGTAATCCGTCATGTTTGTGAGTTTTGTTTTAATGCGCTCGTCGCCATCTAACGTGCGCAGTTTCACTTCGGAGGATACAGATAGTTTTACGGTGGCTCTCTTCTTTCTGTAAAATGTAGGTTGCTTGCTCTTCAATTCTAATGTAACATTTGTAAGGGTTGTAAATTTGAGTTTTAGTAGGTTCGCGTCATTTATGCGCATAAATCAGTCCAAAAAGAGGGCTGCTGCCTCATCACGAGGATGCTAGTCATTCGTATCAAGACATCTTCCGTTGTTTTACCGAGGATCTCCTGTAGAGTACTTGAAATCTGCGATAAATAAATGAACATTTATCATAAACTTATCATTTGCGGAAATGATTGGCCAATCAGAGTCGGAAATTTCTGTAAACTCCAATCAAAGCTTGAACTGTCAACAGACGTTGACATTCAACGGAATTAGTCAATCAATGACTTTCTAAGATTGGTGCATGCATCTTCAGGCTCTAATGGTGTCGTTCGATGTACCACATGGGTCTCAGGGGGAGATTGTTGAATTAATCTTTTCATTTCGAGAATTAGTGATCAACATGAGCTTTTCTTCCCTCCTCTTGGTTACCTGTTTTCTCTCTCCTCGTCATCCTTTGAGTCGCTGTTGTCGTTTTCGTTCAGGGAAGGCTACATTCAAACGAGTCAGATGGTTCCGGCGCAGACCTTGCTTCAACCGCTTCAGCAACAATTGATCGTCGATCCAAATGGCACTGCAGCGGGCCAACAACCTACCTTTGCCTTCCAAGCAAGTGATGGTAGTCTGATTCCAGTTCAGCTTGCCGCTTCGCCAAATGGTGGACCTCTTATCATGCTAATGCCAACTCAAACTACTGGTCAGGGCGGGCAGCCTGTTTACACCACACAGGCCATCACGACTGGTGCTACGGCCGCTACTGCGACTATTGATGCCGCCGGGCAAGCTACCGTTCTCGGTTCTACAGTGGAAGATGAGAACAATCAAGCCGCGGCTCTACAGCAGCAACAGACTCAGCAATCGACCGGGCAGGTACAATTGGTGCACCAGCAGACCGTAACTGCAACTCAGGCAGCAAGTCAGCTGATGCAACAAACGGCTGCCCAGCAGAGCACTGCTTCCATGGCTGGTGTGGGTCAAGAGGAGCCTCTCTACGTGAATGCAAAGCAGTACAATCGAATTTTGAAGAGAAGGCAGGCTCGTGGCAAACTGGAGGCTCAAGGTCGTATTCCGAAGGAACGTCGGAAGTATCTGCACGAGTCCCGTCACCAGCATGCAATAAAGCGGGTTCGCAATGCTGGGGGGCGATTCTACTCGGCACCGACTAGTAAGTAAAATGTTAGTGCGGGGCTGGGCTGATATTCGTTATAACCATTTTCTTTAATTTCCTATATATGCTTTATATCTTTCAGCTTACATCGAGGGAGCTCAGTGATGGCGATTTTGTGGTTTTCTGTGCGTTTTATCCCCCAAATTTATCTACAGAGCTGTTTGTTTCTACTCACTACGCAGATCCGTCGTGTCGCATCGCTCTTGTTGTTGTCAGATATGTCATAGAAAATCCAATTAAACTGCTGCGATATTCTGTGCCTGTATAGAATTCTTATTTTTTGTCATTGTAAATACAGCTGGGACTCGTGCAAAACTTTCTTCTGAATTTTTGTTTTCAAACAAAAATGGAGTGGGAGCTGAAATTTTGTGCTTTGTGTCTAAGGCCTCCCTTGAACCCGCGGTAGGGTTCCACATGTTTACTGGTCTTGGCGTGTCGGATTCTTTGGTCAGTGTGCACTCCTTTTCGCAGTAGATTGGAGGTTGAGTGTAGTCTCATGAGAATGGAGGATTAAGACTTGGCTTGAAGTGTTCTACGGTAACTGGGTCGTTTCCCTTCGTCAACTCCTCAAAGGTGTTGGGATAGTTAGTAAACTGGCGCAGTCTTGTCTTTGCTGGTAGCAAAGCTCTTTGTGCTGTTTAAGTGTTGCTACTTGTTTTTCTGTAGTAGGAGGTGTTGGGTCCTAAAGTCTGATGGTTAGAGGAGTTTAGCACTTGAGGCGTTGAAGCACACGAGTTCAGGTTAGATAACGTAGGCCATAACTACAAACGAGATTCCTAAAACTCTGCCTTACCGCTTTCCTTATTAATAAGTAATAATGACTGTTTTCAGTAATTATGACATTAATATTTTTTTTGTAAAAAGTCCTACAATTTTGATAGCACTATGGTGGTAAAGTGCTTGGCAGACTTTTCTGTTGTTGAATAAAAGCGAACAAGCTGAGTCTTTTACTCTACAATTTTGATGAGCTTGATGCTGTTACCGAAGTCAATTTTTCCATGATCCTCAAGGGTCTTGATCATGATATTCTAGCATTGATCGCTAATATCAGCTCCGTTTCATTCACCTTGTTCAACACTCTTGAAGCGCAGAGGTAAGGACCTTGTTGCGGCTGCAACCGGTTCAAATAGAGGGATCTCCTCATCCAAACGAAGATCACATGTGCCCTAATCGATAGGTTGGGAACGCGGAAGGGCATTGACACGGACGAAGAATGTCTGGAGGGACCTCAACTACTGCTGTTAGACACGTCGACGGGGAGGGCTTGAAACGGGTGTTAGGTGAAAACCGCCTCGTGGTGATAAATTTCTGTGCGCCATGGTGTGGGCCTTGTCATCTGCTGGCGCCCAAAGTAGAGCAGCTAGCCAAGCAACACCAAGACGTAGTCTTTGTGAAGGTGAACATTGACGAATGCGAGGACGTCTCCGCCGAGTACAATGTCTCTGCCCTGCCCACTCTCATAGCTGTACGAAATGGACACATTGTTGGCCGCGTGGTTGGGGCCAGTGAGGCGGACCTGCAGCAAATGGTCAATGCTAGCTGCGATTGATACAAAATTGCACAAGTGTGTGTTTTTATTCCCTCTCACCCTATTTGGTTTATTAGACATTAATTTTAAATATAAGTTTGCCTGATTTACTCTACGTGTTGTTACTGTTTTTTTCACAATGATAAATGCCGGAAAATAGAGACATTACTTTGTACTGAACATATCGTGCAGAGTTAATTTAGGACCGACGACTTCAATGAAAAATTGAAAATAGTTGGTTTTGATTAAGTCCACAAGGTCGGCATCGGTCTCCACAATCGGTTTTGATGCATTCCATGTTGAGTCGAGCTGGCCAAAACAAGCTGTGGAAGTCATGATAGGACCAATTTATGTTTTACCATTGAATCAGCAGCTTTGTGGACTTTGACTGTAGTGAATGAGTTAAATACAAGTTGTAGTGGCCCTCATGTAGCCCTTCCAGACTTCTCCAAAAATAGGGGAAGATTTGCATTGTCGATTGGCAGAAGGATTACATGCCTGTTGGCATCCAATAATGGTAAAATTGTGCGACCATAAGTTTTCGCTCGACTAAAGTGTTGCTATATGCTTGGTCCATTAATCGACGCTGCGAGTGGTTGCATTTGCACATATCTGAGATGGCATCCGACTGGAACGTTACTGACCTTCTTGACATCTCTACTAATTTTGGAACTTCGTCCTGCTTGGGAATATATGTTGGAAAGCGAAAATGTGCCAACCGTCTTCCATGTCGATTGCCGGCAAGCATGGTCGTTTATTGCAGAACGAGGTTTACGATGGTTGAGTGAAGACTAGACACTGTGGTCTTTTATTCCTTTACCACTTTGTTCCCACTTCAGACCTGTTGCATAATATCAGTCCAGAGACTGAGGAGGTGGAGAACGAAATGACCTCTTCCCACAGGTACCACAGACATCAACGTAATGCATTTTTTCCAGGCAATTGACGGGTGGCGTCGCAGAACACAGGGCCGGGCTAGTTGCTGAAAAGAGACGTCAATTTTAGCCCTTCTGTTAGAGGTCGTCACAATTCTTCATGTCCAAAGCATATGCACATAATTTGGCAATGGAAACACAAATGGACGTTCTTTGGGAATGGGAGTGCTCTGTCCTACTTCCAATACAGCATTCTGACAACTCTCCTGAAGGCAAAGGAAGGCCACTCGGAAAGTGCGCATCGTTGACTCACAGCCATCGACTGACTTGTCTTGGAGGTAGCGTAAAAGCGGAACTTGAAGTAAACCGTTGTCTTAACTACGGGATTAATAGGCAACGAAATGCCGTCAAGCCTTTCCATATTAAATTGAAGCAAGCGTCAACCGCATGTAAGGGAAGTCTAGGCGCTGACAATCTAGCCATGGTTGTACTTTGAATGTTTTCGATGCACTAGAATAAGATCGGATTTAGAGGCGACGCTGAAATTAGCTCCGATGGTAGTCAAAATCGCTTACTGCTGACAAAATGGACTAATAGAAAGCAAATCCAAGTCTTACGCCAAACTCCTGTTTGTGTACATAAATGCGCCTTTTATGTTTAAGACTAAATAATTTATACCGCGATAATATTCTCCGCACATAACTGACGCAGTTGCGTAATATGTAGCTGTCGCATGGCTGTCTTCGTGGGTTTCAAAATCATCTCTCTCGGTAGCAATCCCTCACATATGCATCTGGTGTCTTTGCGATCTACCGCGTTGGTTTATGGTCCACCAACTATCATGAAACCGATGGGACTTGTAAATTTGAAGCATACGGGTGAATGACAGCACGCAGAGATAGTAACACAAGAGTCCTGAAATACGTACGCTCAGCACTCCTTCATTGGTAAAAAGTGGTTGTGAATTTAATCAACACGTTACCCTAGCAGGTTTGCATAATCTCCTCTGCCTAGAGTGTTGCTTGTTGTGTGATCCTCCGGGTGAATCACGTCTACAAAACGGTCGGCGATGAAACACACCTCCCCTGCCCTCGGTCTGACGCCTCATTGTACGATCGATGACTCATAAAAGGTGAAGCTGTTGCTCAGAGGAGTTTCACCTTCGCTATTTTATCAGATTTGGGAAGAAATAACAAATAAGACAAACCAAGACATTTCACTTTGTTAAACGTATGCGGGTGACGCAGTCGTAGCCTCTAATAAAAGTGACATGCCAAGTGTTGCAAGAATCGGCTTACTTTTCCCAACTCGCTACGTGGGCGTCGATGTTGAATATGAGCCAAGCGCAGATCGCTTAACCACTACTTTTCTCACGATGAATAACTATAGAGCCGTAAGAAAGGTCATCGCACCCGCAGGTACCGCTCCCCACCTCGTGCTATATGCCGGAGGGTTGCGAAAAGCGTGGTTAGGAAAAGGAGTATTGAATAGTGGATTGTTGCAGTGTGGAACAAATTCTCATAGGCGCTGACTTGCTTGCCCTCACTGAGCACAGGAACTGCACACTCTGCCCCAATCCCCGATTAGTGATGCGAGTAATGACAACATATTGTTACAGTATTCCCATTGCCGATTGAAACTCCAATTAAATACTGATTATAATTTCTCTTACAAAATCGTAACCAGTAGAATAGGAAGTCTTAAAGATTCATTGGTTTCAAAATATCTATTGTGGCAGATCATTACAACTGATCGAGGACCATAGCATTGAGAACCTTAGCAGTACAAATGCTACCATTGTGACACTCCTGATTCTCCCAGCACCTACGCCTTTGCTCTTCCGACTGGGCTAACTTTTACTGGCCAAAACGTCAAAAAGCGGGGCAGGAACGGTGTCACTGCCTTCTACGCGATGCTGTTAGTGGCGCTACGTCATCCCCTGATTCTTCGTTGAAGCGTTGTGCGAGGCGTCACGACTTGTTACACTGTTAAAAATGGTTTGTCCGGAGAGATGGTACAAAATTAACTATTCAAAGGCTTATTCATTTTATCCTACAAACATGAACTCCAGAGATGCCTTTATGCCTTAACGCAATGGTTAACCTTGTCAAAAATGAACAGCGCACTTTGAGCGAGGGGACTAATACCTCATGACATTTTCCCATCCGATTCAACTCCTTTCGAGAGGAGATGTGGCACCAGAATAGTTTCCAGTTGGATGAGTGTGACTGCTGCTTGTGACACGTGCCTAAATCCTTGTAGCGCTTTTCATTTCTTAAAAGCTTGAATTGAGCTGTGCCTTCAGGGCCCAGAACAAATGAGCAAAATTAACAACTTGCAGCCACCCGTTACACATTTAGTAGTTACCCGAGTGTTTTTGGATGTAGAGACCAAAGCCAGCACAGAGTAGGAAATGTGTCTGCAGTTCAGCTGAACCAGTAAAGCTCCAGTAATGTCCGAGCACCATAGCAGCACAAGTCAAACGACTTTGCGACCATTCCTGCCAACATTCAGCCAGTGCATGTGAGACCTGCACTACCGAACCAGGACGACTTCCAGTATTGATTAGCCGTACCGATTGGCAAGCAGACAGTAGCTTAATGCTGTTGGCGTACCAGCGGGAGAATTGCGCAGAGAAGTTACCTAGTTCCTCCAACTCAGAAACCTCGGTTGGATTTTGCGTTCCCATCACTTCGCAGCTCCAGATGGAAGTTACTGACTGGTAACAAATAAGTACCAACACAGCATCTCATAGCGACACCCCGATCCACAGCTCCATGCATCGTGGAATGCACAATGACCGAGGCGCCACGCTGCCCAGGTGGCAATAAACCAGCAGCAAATGGTCAAAACCCAAATGATGCGCAAGACCACTTTAACCACCCCATACCTCAGGTCAAAGTTCAAAATCTGGCCTTGCTGATCCCTGATCCACGTAACAATAATGATGAAAAAAGTTTACGTCATTTGCTCCGTTAACACGCGCTGATAAATTTCGAAATCAAAAATGCCGTACAAGTGTGCCGTTGTGTTGTTATGATATGATAATGATTAATAAGAAAAAATGTTCCAATATGTACAGAGGGCACGCAATGCCAATAAAGTGTTAGGGGCAACATTATCAATAGCTAGAAGACAGCCACGTGGTCAAAAAGGATATGATGTCGATAGGAAAGCAAAAATATACAGATTATATCGGTACGAAGGGCTATATAAAAGTTACCGAGAATTGGAATAGGGGAACGGAGAACGTGGTGAGGCAGCTCTTTTGGTTGGGCGTATGGCTCGAGCATAGATGTGTATGTACACAAAAGACAGGTATGATGTGATTGATTATCAGCAGGAGACAGGATGTATGTGTAATACTTGATTGTATACGAAGTTTTGTGCACGCGTAGACATGGGAAATCTTGAGAGATCACATGTGAGAAGACAAATGCATAGGTGAATGGCGGAAAATTAGATGGAGTGATGCGAAGCAGTGCCGGAGATGAACAAGTAGCAGCATAAGAAATCTGCAGATCAATAAAATCTCAACCCAGAAAGGGAGGAAAGAATGTGGAATTAATCGACGACCTCTTCGACCTGTTCAATTCCCCTTCTCCATGCCTCCCTTCTGCATTCATCTGACTGACCTGTTCCCTGAACCCCCAGTTCCACCTCATCATCAGCTTCTGCAAGGTCAATTACTTCCTCATCATCATCACCACATTCGCCCTCGGGCTCGGCTACCTCGATATTCTCGTCGCAGGAGTAAGTAGTGGCAGCAGTGGAAGTAAAACATTGAAAAGGTGGCTGAGGAAGCTCCTTTGCAAACACCTTTGATTGTAACCGAAATTGACTGTCCACAATGGGCCTTACATCAGACTAAGGATTGACAGAAAGGCCGAGGTAAAAAAGCAATCCAACTCTAAACAATCCTTGAAAAAAGACATGCTTGCTACAGAAATGAAGAGGCAAAGACCGAACGAGCCGCTAGAAATTTCATTACTTGCAATATAGTAATGTTAACTGAAACTTGAGTGCGCTAAACATTTTTCAAGCAAAATATCCAAAAGCCATAACTAACCAATTTCGCGAGACGCTCGAGGAAAGGAATTAATTTCATGAGCTCGTTATCCTCCTGGTCAGTGAACCAACTTTCAATGGGTATCCCGTTGCTTAGCTGAAAAATAATGATCAAATGGGGTGTATTTATTTGTCCACGACACAAATAATAACATTATAATGATTAGAACACAAGCAAAATAGCACAACACACTGTCTTGCCTGGTAGCCAAAGGCTTGGGGAGAGTTGTCAATTATGACGGTTTTAGTTAAGTCCCTCCCTAGCACACGCAAGTCCTTTACGTAGTTTCCATTGACAAAAATACAGTTTTCTCGAAACAGACGGTGTCTGAAGAAAGAAAACCGTTCCTTAAAATGAACGAATAACCATTGAAATGCGCATCATCTTCATCACAATCACTTGCCTAATCCACTGCTTCTTGGGGTCTAAAAGGTTGACGAGCCTATCAGCGTAAACCTTGGTGCTCGCTGTAAAAAGTACAACCTCGTATAGTTCCGACACCCTTTCAAGGAAATGAAAGAGATGTGGCCTTACACGCACGTACACCTACATAAGGAAGGCGTTAGAAGGCGAATGGGTGAGTAATGTCCATCGAAGGGACTTACCATGTAAACGACACCTTGAAAAACGACCTGGAAAACAAACTGAGCGTCCACTAGAGGTTCAAGACTGCAGTGTACTAGCGTCTCATCCAGATCAAGGACTAAGCAGTGCTCCGGACACGATCGCGTTCTCTTAGGCAGTGCTGGTGGGTGGGCAAAAAGCTCGTCCGACACTGGGGGGAGAGTTCGAATAAAAGCAAACCTACAGAAAAGTGGGATGCATCAATATAATGACTTTCCTTATCAATGACTCGGTGGGCTACCTCAACTCATTAATAATTGCTTCGAAATCAAACTAATACTAATAAAGTGTTAGAGCTGTAAGAAGAGACCGAAGAGCAGAAGAGCAAAGGTAACAAACTAGTTGAAAAAATCGGGGCCAACCACTATTGGAGATGCAGACTTACGGTCGGAAGAATCGCACTAAAACCCGGATATAGGATTGAGGAGTGATAGGCTTTTAAATTAAATAGGAAACAGTTATGCCAATACCTCGTAAATCAGCCTTGCATTTCAAACAGCAGCAAAAAAATACAATTTATGAGACCACAAGATCACTCACGGATCTACTTCACACAGTTCACCAGCATCAGCTTCGTACTCCTCGGCTGATGGTATAGTAGACGACTGAGTTCCCCCCATATTCCCTACTTCAGCCTGGGTGATCTCCATGATTTCCAATGAATCATCTTCAACTTCAGCATCGCCTTTAGTTTCACATCCACTGCTACTAGTTGGGAGAAGAGAAGAAATGGAGGAGGAGGCGGTTGAACTATCAGCAGAGGGATCACTAAGCCAAACACTCTCTTCGGCCTGAGAGGAGTCAGAAACCTTTTTGTCTTCCGACTGAACGTCGTCGCAGCGAACGGGTGGTTGCCACGAATGCACCGCACTAGTCGGGGTAACATGAGTTATGAGAGGGGTTGAGGAGGACTCGGGTTGGAAATGGGATTTGGATGCCCTAGGGTTTTTAGGCTGGGAAATACGAGAAACCTTCCGACAATGGTAGCGAAACTTCCGACAGCTTCGAGGAGGCGTAATAGAGGGATGCTGTGGTTTTCTACAGGAGCGAGTGATTGATACAATCTAGAAGGGATGAGATGTGCTTGCTAGAAAAGTCAGAGAGAAAACAGGGACCAATAATGCAACCAAACCTTCATTCTGGTGCGCTTAAGATTACTCCGGTTCAATTCAATCAGATGCGATTTGGACTCTGAAGGAGGAGAGAAAAGTAAAATCGGTGGGCGAAAAAATGTGAACAAAACACAATCATTGTACCTTGAGCTACCGATTTGAGACGAGGTTTATCAAACACATCACCTCGAGAACTTCCTGAGACAGGTAATTCATATATCGGGGAGAATATCTGCCCAGAAATTTTTCGCCGAGTCCTGCGCGGTGATGAGCAAGCAACTATGGGCTTTCTCGATAGCACCGGCGACATCACGAACTCGAGGTGGCAAGGACTACGAATTGACAGTAACGACAGGTAAATATTCAGCCTTTGGACAGCCATATTGTTGGCAAAACTTCTTAGAGACATATGATGCGCGTATCAACAACAACCAACGAGGCAAATAACACCACAATAGTCAAAATAACCGCAAAACTCTGCATATTTTGCACATTTATTAGAACTGTCTACGTAGAAGCCAAATAAATTACCTGAGACAAAAATGCGCAGTTACTGTCGGCTGTCTATTACTGTGGAATCGAGCCGCAGAAAAGAGATTTTAGTCTTGGTGGAGAGACCAAGTTCTGGAACTTATAGATTGACATATCTAATAATTAAGATTCACAAGTAAATTGGTTTGTTGATTTCAAAAAGCAGCTTCAAGTATAGACATTTAGCGTTTACGTAAGACAGTGAAAACTAGACCCTTACGGAAAACACTTGAACAGAGCGTCCACTATGCACACTTGTAGGCTTAAACAAAAACCAATCTAAAAAATTTAAATACCGCATTTGGCAAAACTGGGTTTCCACAAAACAATCGAAGTTCTAATTGCACGTTTTATTTCCAAATTGATCTCATAGTACTGAATATTTTCAGATGCACGAAATTATGGAAATTTAGTTTGCTATCCCTTACCTACATGCCGAATTGCTTCGGAAGGTAAGCTTAAAAGAAGGTAGTGAGTGAGGCTGGATGCATGTATTCCGAAGGGAACAGAGCAAATGGACCTGTGTATGGCCGGAGACCAGCCCACATGTACAAGGGCAAGAAAAATCTTAGTGACTGCCGAACCCCACGTAGTCACATAAAAAAAGCATTACACTGCCTCTCTCTTCTTCGGGCGATGTCCACGGCGCTCTCCTTGGTATACCACCCACGCCAGCTGTCACAGCATATTCGGTACTACAAGAAAGCGCCTACGAGCCAATCACGCCAGTCGACAAACGTACTTGATCTCCTCGACGACTTCAACTAGAATTGGAGTTGCGGTCGATGTGACAATCAGATTCGGAGCCGCATACATCTGTCGACCATCGGTTGCTTCCAGAGATGCTTCAGATATGCTGCAGGAAAAACGGGAGATGGCACTGCCCCGTACGTAAGGAGAACCGTAGTGTCAGTTTCGACACATACATGGATGTTGCAGGTAAAATTTTGACATGAAACTTGTCCAGATGGTTCACGGCGGTGTCGCTTCAGTTGTTAATAGCTTGGCTTGGAACACGGGAATAAACTTAAACAAAGTGCAGACGTCAGTTACATCTTTCTTGTCGTAATGGTATCAGAGGTTCTCCCACCACCGAGGTAAATGCGGCTCCTGCACACCATAGGTACATGCACCGAAAGGTATGTGCTGGGACAGAAGTTGTTAAAAATATCGGGTTCGTATTCCGCTACCACCAGTGTAGCGTTCGAAGACTTCTCATAGGGTAAAAGTAGGCAGCAAATGCGGCTGGGTACATGTATTCCAAAGAGCATAGAGCAAGTACACGAGTACAAGGTCCAGACAAATCCTAAAGTGGCCGCTGAACGTCATGCGGTCATGTAAACAAAGTATTACAGCCCATTTCAAAAGTTTCGTTCAGTTATATTTCGCCTTGGTGTATACACTCTTTTCCAAAATGTCGCGGTGTTAAGAACTTCTGCTGTGTTGTTGGAAAAATAGGTTTTGGGTGAATGTATGCATTTAGGCAGAAAGTCTAGAAGTCGGACTCTGGCGTGGCCTTAATTCCGGCCCATTTGGCAGAAGGAAGGCGCTGCGAAAGTGAGTGATGTTCATACGAGTAGTCTTATGAAAACTGCAGCTTTTGGGACTTCCCACGTGTTAAAACAAGGCATTAATTTGTCGGAATGCGTGCTATGTAGGAGAAGAAGGGGTTGGGTAATGGGCTGGTCTGAAGGACAGCCCACCTATACAAGAAAAAAAAAATATGAAATTAGCCACGAGACATATACATAGTTCCATTAACAAAGTGTTTCATACGCATTATTACAGCCTTCCTCCTTGTGAAGTAACCTTAGTGTGCCCTGCATTGCGTTGGGCTTTCTTTTGACGTGGACTGCGAAAGAGTGTGTAAATTAAGCTGTTATTAAGGAGCGAAACATTTAATCTTTGCTTACGTCGAAGAAAGCGTCTGCTTCTTTAATTTGACGTACGTGTGATGTTCTCACGTTCACGTTAAGTTAAAATAGAGAATTTATATGCATCAAAAACAGAAGGCTTGAGCTGTTGGCTTTCAAAAGGTCGAACACATTTACTAGAGCCAATGAGGTCACCTATGCCGTCGTAACCGAAGTCGGTAGTCGTACGAACAAAGTGCTACAATTGTGTGCTTACGATTAACACAAAGTACATTGCCATCCCGCAAGCGAATTAGTCGCAATTGCGATTATTACCCACGGCATAAAGCAGAAGCACATGCTACTAAGATTTGTTTCCACGTTGTTTTAATACAATATACTTGACTATATTATGCCCAACGTGATGCCTTCTGCTACCTTGGAGAAGTCTCGTCGCTCTACACTAATGGCATTGTGAAGCGAACTTGATATCTTAAAAAGACTTTCATCCTCATATTCATCTCGCATTTATGTCGGCCGGGAGATACTATGAAGTCCTCACCACGGAGTATGTAAGAACATTGTCTGCGTTTAGTTCCACCTTGCCCCTGCGTTCCACCGAAAAGTTATTACCAGCTGGAAGGACACTGCCATAAACTATCGGAAAATGATTTAGATTAGAAGTCGCGTTACTACGTCCGAGTATAGTGTTGGAGATAATAATATAGCGAATTTCTTTCCATACGAGATCAAGTCGTTTCAATTAAACATCTGTTTTGGACCAGCTCCAGCCTCTAGTCGTGGATCTCATTGATGATGAACAGAAAGTTCTCGCCACGATTCCTGCCCTCTCACCAAACACAGCCCAAGCTTCAGTAGAAGCTGGTGAGGAGGCTAAATACCGTTTCTCAGTCTACTGGAAGCTGATGGCTGGCGTGAATGGCTCGTGGGTGATTCGTTGTGGCATCGGATATGTTATGATGGCTGACGATGGCAAATCGTCGAGGAGGTCGCATAAAAGGAGAGAGGGGCAGTGTACTACCTTGTTTGTGCGATCGTCCTTGGGCTATGCCAGAACCCTATCCCTTCTTCTAACAAAAATACATGTATTCTGCTTAATGTAATGCTTTCTTCCACCTGGGAGAAGTCTCGGATTGCGAAATTCAAACCATGACAGTGCAAATTATGCACTGCTCATGTTGTTCGTCTTGCCTTAGCCTCGCTTTAAAAATTGAGCTACGATCTCTCGCTTTCACTTCTTCATGTAAAATCTTAGGACTACCTATTGAGTAGTGGAAAGTATTAAGTGGGGCCGAAAACTTGCATTCAGAGAGAAGAGGAAGGGGCTGGGATTCGGCTAAGCGTAAGATGAGTACTAAAATAGCCGTTAGTCATACAGATTGCCAAATAAATAAGGCATTGCAGTGAAAGTAAAGCTCCACCGTAACTCCTTTATGTATGTCAAACATTGAAGCGGCTCAAGCAATTCCTTTTACTGGAAATACATAAGCATTTATGGAGTCAAGTGGTGAAAAAACGTTAACATTTAAGATGGAAAGGTTGATGCGCTTTAAAGAGGATGGAAACATCATTTGCCCATACATCAATAATGCATTGCTAAGTAATTTGATGATTAGCTTTGCTTACCGCTCTGTCTTCGTTACACCATTTGCATCGCACGCCTAGGTCTGCTGCGTCCATGAAACGGTGTTCTGGATGCTACGGTTCAACTACGCATGCTCCATCAAAGCACTTTTACGTTGAATCGCTTGCAGTTCTTAGTAAAATTACGCCATGAGTAGCAAAAGTTTCATCTGTAAATCCAAAGCTTCACAAGTGGATTACTTTTATCCGAAGTGTAGAAAGTTCGTGCAAATTGCTTTCATCAGCTTAAGATTTGAGTTTCGCCTCGAAAGAGCCAAAAGCTGGGAAGACATTCGACTCACTCCCATACAGTTCTTGAATGCATCGCTTGCAGGATACTGATGTATTCATTGTTATTAAAGAACAAACTGCTGACAAAACTGAGTACAGATACTTCGAGTCCGAAGTCACGGTCCAGGGGAAAAATCCCTTCGTTAGCTATACCAACCAGTGATTCCTTGATGGATTTTACTGGAACCTACACTTCTTTCGGACACATTGGCTTGTGTGCTTTATATTCTGTGATAAAACTTTTATGAACGCTAACTTAGAAGGGGATGTCATACTTCTTTTTAAACTCTATGGCTTAAGTCTTGAGGATCCTATGCGAATCCTTTGATGTGGCGAACTCATTTTTGCTTTTCTTTCTTCCTCACTTCTTAGTGTTGACTCAAGATTTTAGCTGTAGGCATTTAAGTTGAGACAGTAATGCGCGTCACTAGTCTTGTTTTAATTTTTTGTTTTTATAACACTTTTGATCAATATTTCTTCTGATAAATCGAGAGCATTCATTATAAACTGTTCTGCACATTTATTGTTGCGATGATACATGTATGCATTAAGGAGTAGAGTATCGCAACAGACGCAATACTCTGTTCGTTTAATTACCTCTACGAGTGTCGGTCGCTATACTTCTGCCAGGTGATTGGCATCCAGCCATTCCAAAGTTTCATCATTTTCCTTTCTTTATGAGTACCAATATTCGATTAGGACTAGTGTCTTCTATTGCCTAATGGGAAGTCTCGAGACTCTAATTCACTGGTAATAAGGTACGTATTCCATTAGCGTCATCGGCTATTACAATATTGGTAGCATCTAATGCTATTATGGTTTAACGATGGAACGTTGCACTACACATTTACTCTCATTTTTTTACTTTTCACCCTGACAATCTGCCTCTGTTGCATGCCACTGGCCCCGCTAGGCAGTCTGGTCCATGTTGTATGGAAATACCTCCACGACGATCTAACACTGCTGCATAAATGCAATCAGACTTCACTTTCAAGGAAAATTTTGTTTAGACCTAATATTTCCATCAGAATATGCAGCATGTAGTGGATCCTAAAGCGCATTGGAGAAGACAAATGTGGCCTATGCCTAACCAAATTCTGTGCCATTGAAAGGCGCAACTGTTACGCAATTTAATTGACTGCTGGTTTAGATTGCGACCACTTAGCTGACCGAGTGGACCGTCTTCTGAGATCTTCCAAAAGTCTCATCGGTTCCTGTTAAGCATATGTGCTTTCTTACTAGTTAATTCGTCATTTTCGTCTTTAAAGGGGTTGCAACACGCCGCGAAAATTTTACTCTCAAAACCAGGAGATACCTTCGTATAAAGGATTGCCGTTTAGGTTTAAGCAAATCGATCCATGCAGTGGCATGTAGTAAGGCAACCAGCATGGTCGACGTAAAACGTTGAGACTTTCCGTACGGTGAAAGAAGACATGGTGCTTGTATGAATACATATATTTATGCAGAAGGAATAGAAGCAGGCTTTGAACTGGTCCAAAGGCCAATCCATGCAGATAAAGCAGGATGACGGCCAAAGTGATCGCTATCATATAGGTAGTTAAGTAAGCAAAACGTTATATTTGGCTATAGAAGTTCTGCAGTTGCAAATAATACTTCAACATTTACAGCTTGCTACATAACTGGTCACTTATTTGTTAACATAAATTTATCATCATTAATAAACATTCTACAATTTACCCTTTCAGCCTTCCACAAAACTGCATACGCTTCTCACCAGTTTGCTTGTTTGTTTAGCCTTCAGCCTTGAATCCTCAAATTTATTGGTTAGTATACGCAAAAGGGATCTCGCGATGCGTGTTCATTTTGCTTCATTGACTAGATGCGTTTCTCATGTAACTTCTACCACTTTGAGGTGTAACAGGGCAAGGAAAGTTGGTCAAAAATTTATTGAAGACAGTTTTATTCCTACGGATGCCTTCCAGGACAGCTTGCCTACTTTACCGGTGCCGAATTTGGACAAATCCTTGATTCGGTACCTTGAATCGCAGGCATGTGCCTTAGCCATGTTTCTTTATTGCTCAGGCGTCCATAAATCGACCTGAGGCGCTGAAAAAAATATGCGCTTCAACAGAACACTTTCGAAAACTTTCTGGCTACTTGCTACAGGAGAAGCTTCTTGATCTGCATTATTTGAATCCTGACTGCATGAGCAAAATTTTACTCGATTTTCGCTTGAAAGATCGACGACCCATTGCTATTAATCATAACTCTGTGTATATACTCAAACAATCGATGGTATCCGCGTATAATAATGTACGTAACTTTTGGGTGAGGCACTTTGCTGGTGCATACGCTATTTTGACCACGAAATGTGCGACTGCTGTTAGTGCTCTGTTAGCAGCATCGTGGTGCCAATCTGTCACTCATTGTTGTGGGGTTTGTATGCCACGTGATCCTTGTTAACCATGCTCCTATGTTTACGCACCTCGGTGGGTGTATATATATTTCGGGACGAATCAGTCCTTGATATAAAGATCTTGAAACGGCATTTGTATGGTGCATGCGTTGAAGATTTGTCTTGCTTTTGTAATCATTTAGGCTGTTTTGAGGGCAGCTACCCTGGTGTACAGTTCACTTCGTTTCTTGGAAACTCTGCGGTGTAATAAGCTGAGGCCCGACATTTGTTCCATCGACTCGATGTTTGTCGACTCTCTCAATTTCAAGCGTCTTGTTAGTATTCTACCATCTTTCATAGCTACCTACGGAGTCCGCATGCTTAAGGTTAGGCGTAGTTCCGATTCATATTTTCACATCCGACTGTTGATAACTATAGCTTACTAGAGGATTCGAATTTAATGAATCATTACAGGTTTTTCCTCTGGATATGAGTCACTACGGTCATATGTTCCGTTCGTCCCGAATTCCGGATATGGGCATCGACAGGCTGGAAACATATCCCGAAGCTCGTCACATTGTTGTCCTTAGTCAAGGCGAGTTCTACATCTTCGATGCATTTGATGATCAGGTATACATCGCCCACCTGTCGTGGCAACCTTGTGGGAGCATTTTTCCGCCTTTTTGAGTCTTATTGTTCTGATTGCGAGAGGTCACTGTCGAACCATCTTTGATTTTTACGTAACGATTTTCTAACCATATAGTACTTGTCCTAAGCTATTACGTTTCTATGGGAATCTGACAAATGTAGGATTATGCATTTCTTTATTCGTCATCTCTGCAAAATTTCATGTTTAAATGGTTTTCTACCGGGAAACGGCCTCGTGCCTCTGTGCTTACTTATTGTTAATCAGTAAAAGTACGTTTCAGAACGAAATGTTGTCGGCGGAGCAGCTGGTTTCCAATTTGGCGTTTATACGGAATAGGCCGCGAGGCGGCACGGAGAAACTCAGCGTGGGTCTCCTCACGGCTACGAATAGAGACGATGCGACATTAGCTCGACAGCGCCTTAGACAGGTTGATGGCGACACAGATGGTCTCAACGCGCGAAATCTTGCACTGATCGACGCAGCAATTATGGTGCTTGTTTTATGTGATGACTTCTCAGAGTACCTCCCGCAAGTGGTAAGCATCCAAGACTAATTTTACCACCCGTCCTTTCATTATTTCCTATTCTGAGGTTGATTTTTTATACTTTAGGAACCAATGAAATCTAGCCTTTATTTTAGCTCATTGTTGTCGTGTTGATCTAGCTGCATGGGTATGGTCTCCATTTTTTGAATTGTTGGTTTGGCATTGCAAGCATTTGATACATGCCAACTTTTCTAACCTGACGTTTTTAGAATTTAAAAATGTACTTGTTGGTGTTGCCGATCTGAGAAAGGCGCTTAATTACTTTGAGGGTTGAAAAATAATTTTCACAGATGAACGCTTGGGGGGTTGAGGCCCCCACCCTAGAAACTAATGCCAAACGTGTTAAAGGTCGCGAGTTCATATTTGTGAATTCATGACAAGGCACGTCATATTGAATCTGGATTTTGTTTTTCCTAACCAAACATGACTTTCAGAAGCGTGTTTTGATTCTCACGCTGGGCTACTATGTTTCGGTCAAAATTATTTTTACACTCGCCCAGTAGGCGTCCTGCATCTCATAAAATAGCGATCACCAAAAGAGCAGTTTGGGAGTTGGTCCAAAACGGTTAACCAAGCTAAGGAGGGCGTCGTAACAAGAATCCCTATTATTGCAGCGTTACAAACTTTTTTCGACGAAACTTGAAGCCCTACTTGTAATTTGTGGCGCCACCATCCCACCCCCTATTCATTTCACTGAGCGCAGATGTTTTACGGCTTATCTCTTTTTCCTATGTTCAGGTAGCGGTGACAATTGGGCAACTTCATCAAGGAAAGTCGGCTTAATTTGTTTTCTAATTATGCAGATCAAACCTTCAATGAGTGCTGTATGGCCTAAGTTTAGCTGTTGAGGCACTACCACTTGGGCTTTCACTACCTTCGTCCAGGTTTCCAGTTTATTCAAGAAGTCACACGTCTGCCAAGTTGCCCAAGAATACCCACGCTCATGGTTAAGAATTGATCAATAATTTTGGTAATAAATGGCCACATGATCCACGATGGACTCCTATTCTTTTGTTGCATCCGAATTGTCTTGAAAATTCTCCTTAGACAAATTAGCCTGGAGAAAAGGTTGTTATAATCATGCGAAGATTGAAAGGGTGCTAAAATAGGAAATGCAAAGAGTATTGAAAAGTCTACACAACTAAGTAGAACGTTTGGGCAAGTGTGTTGCTGCGCATTACTTCCTCTTATTAGATCGGTTTCGATCCGGCTTTTGATCTAGAGACTGAGATTCTTCCAATCTCAGTGCTTAAAACTTGTTGAGCTTACATTTGAGAATTCGCAGTTTAGATTCCTGCACTTCAGCTTGCTTCGTGATTAGCTTTCATGATTGGTTTCTCAGTGCATTTCTAATTATTTCGTTTTCATTGTTTCTCTTCATTTAGTTTTTTTCCAGTAGTCATAATCTAAATTAGTAAATACAAACAAGGGAAGCATGTAAAACCATTGTGCCTTGCCTTGTGAATATTTGAAACCTTCACCACATTGCAATACTTGAGAAAGATTGCAGTTAGAACTCGGCCGTAATCATTTGTGGCGGAAAAGCATCCTTTTCAAGTGGGAAAAAAGACAAATGTTAGGCTTGTGGTACAGTTTTGAAGAATGGTAAATCTAGAGATTGGGTCAGATGATAAACTAACTTTAGCCACTTCTTGTGGAACATTAAAGCGGCATTTCAACCTGTATAACTATAAATTAACGGTAGTACTTCTCTCAGTCCCCATTTTATCATACTAAAGCCATTTTGCTTCTATATCCTTCAAAGGGGACTCGGACATTTTTAACCCGAGGCTCGTTAAAGCATTCATTATCAAGCTTGTACTAATGCGCCGACAAAGCCTTGAGTTTCTGTTAAATGATCAGCCGATTATATTGTTTTTCTACTTCACCACAGCATAGAATGGTCTTGATGTAATGTTTTTTAAAGAAGGGTAAAAGTAGCAACAGTGATCACAATAACTGGATTGGGCAATGCGCTCAATTAACATGATACGAAAGACTAATTTTCAGATGAGGCAAAGTGTCTCGTTTTGTATGTAGCGACTGCGGATGAAAACGGGCTGTTTGGTCTAGCTGGTGCTTGTAAGCATGCTGAGATAACGGTAGGGCTTAGTCTTCTTCATTACTTCATAGATATCTACAGCGTTGGCAGGTCCGGGTGGTTCGCGATGGTTCGACAAGCCCTTCAGCCTTTTGGTGGATCGCAGTGGTGCTGCAGCGCTCAGCTTTGATTACGGCTGGACTGACGCCTCCACTGCTCTTCGCTTCGCTGAGAGCATTTTCAGGGACTCTGAAATCTGTCCCTCCGTCGACCCTTGGCTCCTCGAGTCTTCCCACCGGTAGGTAGACTAGGCTTCAAAGACTCCTATCTTCATTTCAAATTTTTGTTGCATCTTAAAATGTCCCAAAGGTGTACCCATCGAAAACTGAGGTCTTTGACTCTAAAAGTCATTATCAATGGGTAATGCCATATTTCGAGTGCCGTTCAGTTAATGTTCGAGAAACGATTTCGTCGGCTAGCCATCCCAGGATGGTCTATTGGGCTAGTTGAAAGATAAAGTCAACTTTATTGTCTGGTAGGCGCCTACTTTTATTCTCTCGTGGGATTTGGGGACAGTTTGTGCCTGGGATGTCCACCATCAGACATTTTAAGTGTTAGTTCACAAGAATGATGGTCGAGACTGTAAGCTGGGAACGGAACCACCGCCGCTACTGTGTTGTGAGTCTCGCTGTTGAAGAGTTGATTTTCTTTTCGCTCCGGCGTCGTGTTGTGCTGAGGTCTCTCGTAAGCACGCAAGTGTTTATAGATGTTTGAGTGCTTTTCTTTGCTATTCTTGTTGGCGGGATGCCTAACTATATTTGTTTCTTTGGCCACTTACCATCGATCGTCAGGAACCAAGTTGGTTTCACTGAACAAATAGATCAGTACCTATGAAGCAACCGGTGGCTTTTGGATTCGGATAGCGAAATCTTTAACAGTTGGACTTTGCCTTTCAGACACTCGTGGGGTTGAATTTCACTGAACTTTCCTTTTTATGGTCTTTGATTAAGGTGTCGGAAAAAGACAGCAAGTTGTGCAGAAACCCGATCAAGCTTATACTATCCAATTGTAATAATAGTACTTAGTTGTTTCAGGAAGAGCAATTATTCATTGAAGACTCCTCAAAATGCGATGGCATTTCGATTAGGTATTAGTTCGCAAGTTTCACTTTTAAATAGCGTCTTTTCTCTAACGATCAAGAATTAACATGCTCAAATCACCTCTGTTTGTCTCCATCTTACTTCGCAGTCGTCTGGTATCAGAAAAAAGGTAGTCTGCCTGGGAAAACGTGTATGTCACGCAGTGGATGTAGTAGGACAGCGGTACAATAACTGGCTTCGTGTTTGGCTTTAAGCGTAAATTCCCAAAATGAATCACCTCATCGGTTGAGTGATGCCATGCTCTCCCTTGTAAGAACGCCACTTTTTCTAGCTCTAACCCTGTACTGGTTGCAAGGAGTCCACATGCGCGTTGGCTATGACCATCGTCGAAATTGGGTGAAATGCGATTTGTGGATAATAGTGTGGAAAGAACTATGTAATACGGCTTACACTTTGACCTCACAAATGACCAAGTAGCAAACAAATGCTTTTGAGTCATGGTTCTTCTGGTAAGGAGAGCGCCTTTTTTGGTACCATAGCTTTTGTTTTCTATCTGAGTGAGATATTTTGGCATATATCGTGCTAACTGTTGACAATAAACAGAATTCTTTAAATTTGTGATTTGCTTTGAGGTCATTGCAATGCCAACCAGAGCATGTGATGATACTTGCTTTGATTAGTGAGTGGGTCGTTTTGCCATGTTTGATGGTATATTGGTTCACTTGTAGCTGAAATGAAGAGCCATTTCTCATTAATAACTTTGCAAGGAGCTAGTCCGAAATCAGTCAGCTTTGTGAGTAATGGAGGGGAGAACGATTTGACATTCATCAAGCCTATTGCTTATGTTTGCTGGAGGCAGGCTCATCTGCGTCGATGAATTATTAGTCGGTTTGAGAATGACTTTTCACTGCTGATGTGACATTCTCCATTCTTATCTAAAAAAAAATTCGCCACGCTTTGCCATCGTATCTTATACTTAACAAGAGGATGGTGCAACTTTAGCGGGGAGTTCAGAACCGGAGACACCATGAAATGTGAATGAGTGTGGGTGCTACCACTGTTGCTCCAATTCAACACTTTGTTACTTGCATGAATGAAGTTTTTTCCCAGATTTCAAAGTTCGAATTCGATTTACTCCCTCCTCATAATCCTCAATAATTTGTTGCTTCGATGGGACGTTTGCTGAAGTTCATGCTTGTATCTATCCATAATACAAGTCTTCGCAATAAACAAGAGTTTACTCAGTAATGAAGATGGAGTACAACTTGATCCTTATCAGTTAAAGCACCTTTACCTTTACGAAATTTTACAATTTCATTTCATCGTACAATTTTCCTCTCCATAGCATCAAATCTATTAGGAATTTAAAAAGCGAAAAAATTACACTGAGGCAAGAGAAGTAGCCCATCTTCCCTTTACTCCGCTCGGACTACTGCTCCTTGTCACTTTCAACCTTAGCCATGCCGACTTTGGCTTTTATCTGTCGTCTGTAGAAACGCCCTAAATTTTGCTTCCATGATCGTTTATAGACTGCCCAGAGCGATGGTACGTCGCTTGGAATGGAATTTGGACAAAGCCTTCTGTGACGAAGTGTTGCTACCGCAACGCGATGCCTACGACGCTCTCCGCGACTCGCTGCAAGTGGACTGCTTGGCTGAGGTGGGACATCGAACGCTGAATCGACATCTCTGCTCCCGTGCTGGCGTCTGTGCAGACGCTATGGTGCAACTCGCCTTTTTGGTCAGTCTAATTCTTCCCAATTAACTCTGTCAGCCTGGTACGATGTCACTGGAGGGTTGGAGGCAGAAGTAGATGAATGATTTGGATAGAAGCATTAATCTTGTCTGCATTAAACTTAAATATTTAGTAATTGCACCGGAGTTTCGCGTTTGGTTGCAAAAGCATCCTTTGTTTAAAAACCACAGCTTGGGTCGGTAGAGATGTCCCTTTTTTCTTAAAACTGAAGAATGATGGAGGTAGAACTGAGTGCTTCTTGAGCTTTCCCCCGAGTCGTTTTAAGTTTTCATTTAGCCTAGTTTTCCCATCACATCACTTTTGCATAGCCCATATGGTCTTGGAAGACTCATCGCGTAGGACTATCGGAACGAGTTGTCTTCTGTTGAAGTAGCTATTTAATAGTCACCACAGTATTCCTCTCTCCACTTGAATTTCAACTAATCGCAGAGGCCTAACTCAATGAATCAACCATTATGTTGATGGCAAAAGGATTCCACTGATTCTGCTTCCGCAACTGAATTTGAAAACAAATCAAGCCTCATCGTTTTAGTTATTGACTAGTGATTACAGTGCCAAGTTATCCCTGAGGGTATACTAAGGCATGAAATTGGAACCACCCTCATTATGAGCTTAAAATTGTTATCGCCGGGTCCAGATCATTGCTGCTGGAAGAGGGTTGTCTCTACTTGCATAGTTATCTCGACTCTCATCTTGTTGAAGATGTCTTTTCAGTATGCAAAAATATTGAAATAGGGGCCTAAAGCTGCATGCCTAAGCACGTTTATCCTCAAGTTTATATTTTACTGAATTTGAATCTGCGAAAGTAGAATAGGAGATGGTCTGCAAGATGCTGTGCGGCTGAATGAGTTTCCATCTTTACCTTTGGCTACACTCTAGGACCAAAAGGATTCGTTCGAGTAGCACTACGGTCGCGGCACCGCCAGTACTTTTTCGTCCGCCCTCTGAAATACCACTTGGTCTGCAGCGATTGTATTTACACAGTTGCTTTGTATGTACGGTAATAAAAATATTATCTTCCGTCGCAAACGTCGGTTATTTACCGTTCCCACTACGAAGTGACTTGATGTGCATTATCGTCGCATAAAATCATGTCATTAAACCCGAAGTGTCATACTGTATACCCAAAGGATATTTATGTTTGGTATCCTAGTGAGAAGTAGTTGTACATCCACGGAATTCGCAAAGTATGCGGGACGCTGGCACTAAATCAAGGAGAAAATTGGATTGCAAGCGATTGGAAAGGTGTTCCACTTTTCACTATATCCCTCCTCCTCTGCTAGAATTGAGCACTTAATCCGGTAATTTCTTAGGATCTTGAGAACTCTGTCATGTGAACACTGAACTCTTCGCTCATATCTCTTCAAATGCTTTTCTCGGTGCACGTTTTGAGTTGTTCGCCGATTAAAAGACTAGTTGATCGCAAACTTGTACACGATTTGATGCAAAATCGGGAATGGTCGGAGTTAAATACTTTACTGTTTGCTGTCAGCTGCACCAAGGAGTGGAAATTTTTCATCACATTCATGCATAGTTACTAGAGGTTGCGGAGGTTCTTCCTACGACCACCCATCCTTGATAGGAAATTTTGCAAATTTGATTTGCGTGCAAAGTTGGACAGGAAAAGTCTTTCTTTCTTCCCTTTTGTCTGTTAACCCTTAAATCATGATCCAGAAGTTGAATTGAAGCATTGTGTGGTCAGTTTTCGATCGCCCTAAATTGTTGCTTCTCATTAAACTACACAAATTTCAGGTCAAACTGGGATAAAGTTTTTGCGATTTAGAGTCACTTCAAATCGGATTGACGTTCTATCACGCGATCGGGTTACCTTTCAGACAGGATTGTTTTTTACCGTTTAGGTAGATGTATGAAAACGAGACCTTTGGAAGATAATGAAGGTGGTGGAGAAGGTGGTCAGATATTATTTTTATTGCGATTTGTGAATTTTTGTTGTCTCAACGACATGCTAATTGCATCTAGCATTTCCTACCCTACTTTAAGAATCTAGATCATGTGTAGCCTTTGATCCTTATTAGCCCTTCTAACACATGATTAGTGGTATATTGAGTTGAAGAAATTCGGTGTCTAACATGGCTTAAGATGGCGTGAGACATTCAGGCTTCAGATAACATTTGGGGTTGAAGAGCCTTACTTACATATATTACATACTCTGAGTTTGTTTCCTAAAGAGTTCATTTCACTTCCCACAGAATCATGGTCATCAGGTAGACCTACAATAATTGGCTTTTATGTGATCGGTGGCAGTAGATGTCGTGCCTCAACGAAGGGCGAATATTAATAAGTTGGATAGATTGACGAGATTTATTTTGAAATATTACCAGACCACTCATAACTTTAGGCTAGCTATAGATTCTCATCCCTTTACCCAGGCAAATAGTCTCAAAGGAATAACGGGAGTTCTCTTGTTACTATATCACAACCAGGATACCGTCGTCCTGAACTCACAAGACCGGAAGGCTAATGGAAAGTTTCAAAAGTTGTGTTTCCATTTTTCACTTTCAAGGGTGGTATCCAGTCAGCGCAATAAGGGTTGCTAGTCTTTTGATATGAGTTGAATAGTGCTATCATTTATGCTATGTTTCATCTACTGCAAGAGATTCAGTGGATTGCATCACTTTAAGTAGGCTTGCTATCACCGTACCGCAGGTCTAGAGGACTGCTAGGACGAGCAGAAGGGTTCGGAAAAGTGATATCTGAGCTACTGTTATCTGCGTTGGTGTTTGAGAGTAAGGTTTTCCTTCCTCTACTCTATTGAAATGCTCCTTTGAATTTCAGATGGCTCATGAGAAAGTTCATGGGGAGAGAGGGCTGAATGGTGGCAGCACTGAATCCTGCAGTACACGAACTTTCCGTGGTGGTTACACGGCATTGCTTCGTCCGTTCACTACTGAAATGTGCAATTCTCTCCGTCTCATGCGTTTTGGCGACACTCTTAGCTACATCGACGAAGATGATCTTCTCGATGCCTTTCATCGCTGCTCCCGCGCCCATCGGAAGCTCCTTCAAGAGGCCAGTGCAGCTCAAGGTGGGTGAGCTGCTTAGGATTTGTATCTCTAAGGCCTATTCGGTGACTTAGCAAGCACGAAACATGATTGGGCGATTTGCAACGCAATGTTACCGAAATTTTTCTGTGTCTAAGGTGGACGAATGAGAATTAGTAGAATCTCAGTAAAGAGAGTACTCTTGGCCACTCAATCTTGAATAAGGCAGAGCGCATCGTCCCAAATCTAATCATTTATTAATTCGTTCACTCATATAGAATGCATTAGTTTCGTTATCATCATCATCATCATCCACATATTTTGGCAGTCTTTTATCCACCTACTCATCCATCCGTTCACCTACTCATCGTTTGTTTCAGTTTATTAATCTTAGAGTACTAAGTCTCATTAAAGTGGAAATTGCATCAAATCATTTCGATTCTACGTGGCTCATCATCAAACGAGCCCAGTAGAAACTGCCAAAACTGATCTTTCCAACTTCACTAGTCGGATGGGACTGATTTGATAATAGACTTCGCGACTCGGCTCCAGCCCTGCAGCAGTTGTTTTTAATAGGTGGAAGTTTGAGCGTTGCGTTACGCTTGGGGCATTGTGAAGTGAAGACAAATCACCACGGCCAAGTCGAATCATAAGGGCCCTAGCTAAGGAAGGTGAAATTTAATTTTAAACTCATCAGTGTATTTTATGGGCTGGTTGTCGAGTTTCAAAAACGGAGTGTGAATGTCTTTGACTTGACTCGGGTGTTTAACACGCAGAAATAGATCCACGAACCAGGAAACTCGACGATTGTTTGGAAAATGATAAATTGAATATTGGATACTTTTCATTTCCACCTGTCTGGTTAGTGTTTCGTACCAAGTCTCGTTGGTATCGCCTACTTAGGAAGAATTCGCATAACTCGATCCAGAGCAGTAAAACTGTGCTTCACTCTTTCATACACAAAAACTTTTCTGATTTTCTTCGACTCGCGTCAGATAGCATCGGACCGTGTTCTCGGAAAAGTGACGCTTTTTATCAACAAAACGGCTCAACTTGTAAGTCGAGAAGTCGCTATTGCAGTCAATAGAGTTTTCGTTGTGAAGTTGCTCAATAGACTGTAAGCATTTTATAACCGCGTTAAATATACAACGATACATGCAAGTGGGATGTTCTGCCACCTTCCTAAAGATGGAAGAAGACGTAGCTTTTGGACATGATATCTGTTATGGACCTATAAGACTGGGATAAAATTGTAAAAATTGCACCAGATTTTGACTACTTTGACAGCTTCTTCCGTTAACCTACTTCTATAGCCAACACGCTAATTCTGTAAGGTAGCCTCTCATCAGCATTTTGAAAAGTTGCAGACTTTCACGATCACCACTGTCCACGTATTGATGTCATCCCTACTCGTCAGAGGGCTGTCTGTGACCATTCTCTTTCCGGTTCTTGTATTGTGCTGACGTTTTTCTTGCCTTTATTCAACACCATATGATTCTCCAAGTTTTGCAGCCCTCCACATATGGGACTGTCCGCGCGTTGTACTACTCCAAGGAATGCAGCCATTTTGCTCATTTTATTTGCACAATCTTACGTGTAATCACTAGACCAGTTATCAAGCCGGAATTAGGCCATAAGAATAACTGCAATGCCTTTCTGGACGCCTACCTTTTCAGTGAGCAGTTTTAATCAAGATTAAAGTAGTCTTTCTGAGGAAATAAAGACCTGGGGATTCATAAGGTTGAGGAGCCCATACGTGAAAACTATTGCTTTGCGGAATCACGGCAAAACCGAAATGCAATACAGAAGTTGAAATCCCGCATGCCAGTAGCATTTTAACTTTCGTACAAGTTAAAATTTTCTGTTGCCAAAAGTAAAGAGACGAAAAATCGAAATACATCCGTCGTGTCTGAGCTTGTCATTTGCATATTTCCAATGGCAATAGGAATAAGACATTGCTGAGCCGATTTCCTGTCCATGGCGTGAAATTGGCAAGAGAAATTGGCTAGTACTGCTGCTTATGATTTGGGACAACCAGCGTATTGGCGATTATGCCTTCCATGGCACCATCATGACGAATTTTCTGTGATCCTCGGAAATTACGCTGGTAAGAAGGCCTTCTAGTTGGAAGAGGGGTAGCTTATTTTGAGTCGAGCCGATTTTCGAGCTAAAAGCCGTTGAGAGGCTTTTGACGTGTCCGTTTGAAAGCATAAGCTCTTTCCTTCCGATTCTTTTTGCCCATAATGGTATGGTAGCTCATCCTCAAACACAGCCCTTACACTACGCTTCATTCACCGTTGAACTGCAAAACACAAAGGAGGGCGCCCTTTTGAGTGAGTTCTTTATCACATCACGAAGTCAGTGTAATGATTCGGTCTCTTTACTCCCTCAATAAACACGTAGGTTCGCACCTAACCTTGACTGATTTGGCTACAGACTTACTAACCGACGTTCCATTTCTGACTAATTAAGAAGTATTTGCACTTCCTGGTTCGTCTCATCCTCACACTATGCTGAAAACGCACACATTTACTAAGCTATTGAAATTTTAACCCCACTAAGTGAGTGGTTTTCGGTTTTTAGAACTTGACAGAGTTCGAATAATCCAAAATCCGCAATGCGTTTGCCTCAAGAGGGCCGGCTAAGCACTCTGAAACCTGAACCGAAGTTGGGCGCATCCTCACTAGCTATTCAAATCTCAATTTCTACAGACAAAAATAGTCCTGACTTGAATGCCGCTAGTGTCGCGTTTTTGACAGATGAATTTTCGTAGATTAGTGCCATAGATGTGTGACAACTTCATTTTTAGCTGGTGGTAACTGGTTGCGCCGATCCGAAATTGTGATAGTGGAGTGTTCTACAATCACTAACTCTCTACAGGTATTAGCGACAGTTTATGTCGTCGAACAACAGCAGGATTTTACGACTTCGACTGTGATAGTAAGCATGTGGAGCAGAATTGTACATTCGTAATTTTTTTGGGGCAAAATTTTATTCCTATTTTCGACAGCCACGTTTAAAATGCATGCAATCTAAATCAGCCGATGCTGGGCACCTCATCTATGCGGGCTCATATTTGCCTTTCTGTTCATTTGCTCATTTAATTTAGCATGAAAATGAGTAGATTCTCGTTCACTAGGGCGGCGTAAAATTGCGTGCTCCATTGAAACTGTTAAAAAAATTAATTTCCATGTGGAAGATCAAGTCTCTCTGATCCATTTCGTCCGATTGATTACCCAGTTGACCTTTCAAGCTATAAAAGACGATTTAGTTCCTCCTGACTATGATTTTTGGAAGACTGAAAACTGTTCTGTGGTTACCAGTTGCTTCTTTGCCCTTCTTTACCTCAACAACGCTAACATTTCGTCCATACTAATAGAAACAGTTTCACACCTCCTTGTCACTCCTGATGGCACAACAGAGCCACCCAGTTACTGAATGGATTAATTACCGACTTTGAGAGAATTGCTAAATGTGTTACTGACCCCTTAACAGCGCATGGAGTGGGTTGAAAGCTAGTTTTTCTTTTGGTGAGTTAGGGACATAAGTTAGAATAATTGCCCTTCTAATTTATAGGAAGCTCGATCAAGAATAACCGTTTGATTTTTGCTAGCTGAGACTTAAGGACATCTGACGCCACCCTTGGCGTCTCTCTTAGGAATAATAAAGAGCCACTTAAGTGTTCATAAATTAGTGGAGGTCTGGTATAATTAGCAGGACTAGGCGTTTCCACTTGACCTGTCTGCCCGTTACGTTTGGAATCACTAGATTGGGATAGTCACCTCTTCGTCCTGAAACAGTTGGCCGAGGCCGAAGACAAAGGGCTGCCAGATTTCTTCGTGAACGAAGCTTACGTGCGCATTAGCACAGTAGATCTTCATACTGCTCCATTCACTTCAGACATCGTCAACAACGCAAAGACTGGCTTGTGCAGTGGGGCCATTGCCCCCACTTCGCCTCATGGCTATGGCATCTCTTATGGCATCACAGTAAGTAATGCTTCCTCTGTGGCTCTCAATCTTGTTCAGACGATACACATCTCCACTATTTGATTGTTAATCATAGCACATACGTTAAGTCTCCCTTTTTATTATCCTTCTACCCTTTTGATCTCAAGTTACATTTAAAATAATTGGAATGCTTAGAGTTTGAACTGTGTGCATGACTGATAAAGACCGCAATTTGCCAGGCAAGATTAAAGCAATAGTCAAAGCGATATATGGTCTTAATTTTTATTTGAACATCTGGCTGTGGTAATTCTGTCTTACACACTATAGAAGGAACGCTGCAACCTCTGTTGCGTTGAAAAGATTTGAGGGTTTTGGGGCGAAATGACGTCCAATTTTATGCCTCAAAGGAGCTTGTGATAAATAGACTAGATGCTGCCTCGCGACTCGAGTGCCTTACTTACCAATCATACCTGCTGAAACTTTACCCAAGGGAATAGTCTCTTTGGTTGGTGCAAGGACCATCATGAGCATTCTTTGCTGCTATTTTGGCAATATAATTGAAATTATATTTATATGTACATACACATACACACACACACATACAGTCCTTTGTGTGCAGTCAAGAGTGTGAGGACAAGACAACAATCGACTCTTCTAAGATGAATGCAACTTCTAAGTTTAAGGCAAGATCGCCTCAGCTACCTACCTCACTGTACCGCCAGGCACTACAGACACACTTTGGTGGGTCTTCTCTAATCCACCATTCTTAGCAGAAAATGCAATGAGGATGTACGTCAGAGCACCCACTGTTGCATTCCCACCTCGTCGGTGCTGCAATAAAAGCTGTTAATAGATTAAAAAGTATACATTAATTTTCACTCTCACCTAAATTGGCCTAAACAATCAGTCGGAGATGGTTCCAGGCAGATAGAGTAACCAGGAGTATAGCAATAAATCGGCTAATTAACTAAATAGGCAGTATAAATTTATCCATATAAGGAAATGAATTGTGAAGCATTGAACTTAACCAGACAGTTTTGCACTCAGTAGACGAGTTTGCAAGTACAAGGATGCTTACTTCACATGGCGTGCTTTTCTAGTTGTAAAACCAGAGGTTTGTGGAAAAAAATAGGAGAAGGAGAATTTGGGGTTATTTTTGGATGGTCCATATTTCACTGGACACGCTGCACCGTTACAAAGTGTCTGTGCCCTGGTAAAATGCCACAACCTTTTGTTTACTTATGATAACGCTGCCTACGTTCGGTAAGGCGACTGTCTCATTTTTCAAGTTGTCACGATAAACAATTTTATGTGGAAAAGTGCTCATAATGCCTGCGGTTCCAGAATAAGGTTTTGTGATTCAAAGTCCTTTCGGTTTACATGGATTCCCGTTCTTGAACACTTCATTCTTCTAGTTCTCTTTAACAATGATATGGATCTGCTACTATTCACACAAAGACCACGGCCTATCAGAGCACTGAATTTGTGGAAATAATACCAGCCCCGTCCCGGTACATGGTGGCTAGTTTAACGCTCAGGAGCTGGGACAGAGAAATCAGCGATTTCGATTTGAAAAGTGCACGCTTATGCCAACGATGCTTCGCCTACACTTGGAAAGCGGTTTGGAATGAAACAACGCAGCACAGTGTGCTGAACTGATTGAAAGTGGATAGCCTTCTTAAGCCCAGTGAACTTCGACACTAATTCCTTGGTAGGATGGCTACTAACGTGAGGGCGAAGATGCAGTCAGTTTCCGAAACGTACATCGTTGTCTGCTATGCGCTTTGTTATTTGAGGCTTAATCTTCCCATCATTATGACTTACTGCATTGTGATCACAGCCTACTGTAGACCGGAGTGTGTTTGTGAGCTCGGTTTTTTGTGGCATGGGTTGCGTTTTTGCACTGATGCTGTTATTCAGTATGACGCAAGAGCCGACAACCGACTTGTGTTTTCACGGGAATCTTTTGCCACCACAGTGGCGTTCTTTCCATAAAGTGAAACCGAAAAATCAAAATTTGCAAGCGAATTCGAAAATGCCTTTTATGTAGCATTCCTTCGCGCGAACATGTAAATAAGCGTTCATAAGCGAGTTAAACACTCGAGTTCAGCACTTTTCTGTTACTTTTTACTAGGATGAGGGCTGCAGTGCTTGCTTCACCACGTGGAGAGATTCGAACTTCTCCAAGGGATCACAATTTGCGGAGGCTTTTCGGCAAAGTCTTCACCAAATCGCCGCTATCCTTCAGCCTTGAAACGCCCCAACCCGTTATCTTTGCCTTCATTTTAAACGCTCTATAGTGCTCTTCACGTAGTTTCTTCCTCCTCTAGAAATGCTAATTATACTTTTTTAGCCATTTTAAAAGCCTGGTCGCTTTGATTCAGGATTGAGTTGGTTTTCTATCGGAATTTGTGCAGTAAAGTGATTTGAATGAACACAAAACCTGAATGACACGTTCAAGTCAATAGTCAAATGGAAAGAAGAAGAGGTATTTGTCATCGCATCCTTTCATATTTCTGCCAAGCGAAAGAGAAAATTAATGGCCACCATTTGAAAGAGGTGGAAAATGAAGGTAGATGAAAAGTGAGTGAGGGGCGGGCTACTCGACTTACCTACTGCAGAAACGCGTGGGCTAGTGGCTGGCATTGCGCGCTACCGAAGCAGGCAATTTTGCGGTGAGTAGGTATCTTTAGATATGAACTATTTTAGTCTTTTTGTCCTAAAGTACCTCGGATATTAAGTGGATGTTGCCCAATCAGTTTGATTATGAGCATCTTTACATAGGCGCAGGTCTGATGGGAGTGAACCTCTATGGCCATGTGACGATAGCTATAACCAGGAACGTATCGTCACCTTTAATTGCGGAGTACTCATTGCCTGGTCGATGTGAGCAATTTGGATAATTTAATCCACTGCAAGACTTTTTGGAACCTTGGTAATGCGATTTTGCTTTTTTGATTTCAAGCATGCTCATGAAATAAAAGCGAGCGTTAAAGTTAGCCGGACTTCAAAAAAGCAAGTCGGTTGGTTGTCTCTAAACACGACCAGCTAGTAAGAGTGGGCATACTAAACTGGACCATACGGATTAACTAAAGGATCTGACGGGAGTAGTAAGGGATTCATCTTAAACAATCCCCACTTCCAATCGAGCCTGAAGAGATGCAGATTTCGTCCCAGTGGGGAGCCTTCTATCCCCTCTGTAAAGGATGGAAGGTATTTAATGTAGTACGGCGGCATAAATATACAGGCTTAACTGTTTTGGAGAAGCAGTCAACATCGTGATTTGATAGGAACTGGCATTGCCGAGAATGCTTATGTTATCAGTGTGGGGCTTTGCCTTCTTCCTTCCCCTATTTCCCTCTGTCACAGCACTCTGTACAGGGTGTCAAACAACAACAAAGCATTTATATTCTGAGGAGACTCTTGTTGGGTTTACAGACATCCACTCACCTCCAAATAGGGTGTTGTTATTCACGGGTCGGGCAGCGCTACTCGATTACGACTACTTTGCTTTCAGGCTTTAATATAAAGCATTCCGGAAAGAAAAGTTATGGCTTTGGCAGCCTATTTGCATAACCTTTAATCCTAAGTCCCACGTGTCTGATGAAACCTAACGATCCTAAACTCTGAAGGAGAATTTTAACTCGCTAACTCCCTAATGCTCCAATCCTGAAGAGGATGATAGGATAAAGTCGTTGTCTGCAAGATCAAGGTACGCGCAACTTTGTATATCCACGAGGGAATATTCTGAGTTATTCTAGTTTTTGCCTAAGGAAACGCAACGGACCTATATCTCGCTGTTTGTTGTAGCAAACTTTCTCAATCCACCACATCAATTCTGCATCCACGAGCAGGTTGATTGACCTCAAAGGCATGTGACACCTTCAGTCCGAGGAGCGACAGAATTCAAGTGGTCTTTACACACAATTTCCCTCAAATTCCTAATTGCTTGTCTAGCCAACGTATGAAGTTTCTTTTTTTTGTAAAAAATGGGATGAGCCATGCCGCTATCACTTTGTTGATGCTATCATTGCTGAAATTAGATACCCTTTGACTTTTTGCTCATTTATTTTTGCGCCTCGTATTGGTGCATCCATAACACATACCATCCTGTAGCAGGGAAAACGGGCTGTGAGATGTCGGATATTGTTCATATGGATCAGCAAATTCTATACACCGGTCGCCTTAATTAGAGTCGACGCGATTTCATGTTGAAGTGTCAAAACACGAGGATAGTACTTGGTGAAGCTTTTTATCACGCACCACCGGAGCCCCTATCCCGGTCTGCACGCTTGTGTGGATGCAGAGCCTCACCGATCCAATAAGGGCAGTCACGCCCGTAGAATTCCCCTGAACAGGGGGAAGAAGCAATAAGAAGGGAAGATGTGCATTAGCAGCATATACGAGAGTTGGGTGACTATTGACTTGGCCTCTGGGTCACACCGGCCGGTAACTGCGTGTAGGCAAAGGCCTACCCGTTTGCAATGTTTTGATTAAAGCAAACAGTCAACAAACCCGTGGAGCATAATGCTATTGTAATGGCAGTAAAGAACAAGTTTACACACCACTCTTGCATTTCTTTATTCACCTTCCCTTCCCATATTATTTAAAGTGTTCCTCATTGGGGCAGTGAAAGGACACCTTAAACCTGTTTGGAGTGCTTTGCTACTTTTGGCTTCTCCTCATGCTTCCACCTCAATGCCACACAGTGTCATTCAAAAAATTAGGGCAAAGTGACCGCTTATTAGACGCTTAGTACCAGCTGAAGGAGATTTTGATGAATGTGGCTTGTTTATAAGGTTGAAGAGCGAATCAACATTTCATATTGGCCCTGTTGAGATGTGCAGTATTGAGGGAGCTTGGAAGGTTAATTGTAGTGGCAGAGTTTTGCCAAAAAACGTGGCTATACATCGTGCATCAATAGGTGCAGTCGAATCTGGGAGGAAGTTGGCTGTCAGTGTATCGATGGAATAGAAAGTTGTAGGCGTGGGTGGGAAGTCATCGTCAAACGATGCAGACCCTCTCGAGTTGGCATAGGGAAGCAAGAAGTCATAACAATTTCCGTTGATCTGATACAGCATAAATGGATTGGGAAGGTGCGATTCCCATTAAGCTCTGCTGATCCGATGTCTTCACACCATGCAAATGGAGCGATTTAAAGTTTAAATTTGTTAAGCATGCGTGGAAAGCGCAACGCAAACCTCGAAATGTTGCCCTCTGCTGTAGTATGAGATGCGGGTTTTGTCTTGAGTTGGCGGGAATGCGACTTTTGTTGATGAATTCTTGGCGTTGTGGAGACGCTATTTATGAGTGCCTGGAATTTGCAGATATCCAGTCGTTTAGCTTCACCCTTCAGCATAACGAGGTATAAAATTATTTGCTCATGCGGGTTTGTAGCTTTGAAAAAGTTATCGAAATTAAAGTAGAGTGGAACAGGCTCTTGTTCAGTTGTTGATCGCTCATTTCTGAAGGACCATGTAAATGGCAGCAATTGTCAACGCCAAACTACTCACAACTTCACTGCATCCCGGTGCCACAAAACGGACCAAAAACAAATTGTAATACCAAAAAACTTCGATTATCACAGATTGCAAAATATTTTAGGGCGCTTACTGTTCCACCATTGTATTCCAAGGAAATCAGGTTTGAAAGTTTGAAGGCGTCGGAATAAACAAAAAAACTAACTAGCCGTTGCGTGAGGATCCGGAACTGTAGAATCGGTTCTGAATTTGATGAGATTGATTGCCAAGAGAATAGGCAGAGGGTGCCTTCGTTCTGACCTTCATTGCATTTGAATCGGAGGGAGAGCACTTTCTTTGGGGCATCACTAGAACTAGTGCTAAAGCCTACAGAAGAAAGCGGCATTTCGATTGTGTTCATCTTTTGTTCTAGTTGGATGGTCACTGGAGGGCACAGGCTTTGTCTTTCCTCCCAAAACCAGTAACTCCGAGCTCTTCTGAACATCAAGTATGTCGGTCTTCGTCGTTGGATACTTTATGCTTACTTGGACTACTTTCAACAAGTCGAAGTGTTTTACTGGGCTGCTCATTACCGAGTTGTTAAATTAAAAGGGAAAACTCATTCACTTTGCCGGGTGATCCTATTCCTTACTGAATTTGAATTTTAAATTTCTGAGATACGTATGTTTCTATTTTTAAACAAATTTTTGATACAAAAATTCGGTAGACTTCGGGAAATCAACGAGTTCACTTCCGCCTGATGCAAGGGACATTTGGTTGGGGTTCACTTCCCATGTGGGATTTCCGATGGTTAGGAGAATGAAGCATTTTTAGCATGGCAAATGTGAGCTTGCCATCTCTTGATTAGTCCAGACAGCTAAGGGAGGAGTCGTTTCCGCGGTTTTCCGCCTTTTTCAATTAGGCAGACGGAGTCAAACGCCATCTCAGAGGAAAAACATGTTTTACATAGCCTGCTTGAAGTAGAGGAATAGGAAGACTAAACACTCCCAACAAAACTTTCATTTTAACCAATACAAGCTCCAAGGTCTTCTGCTGTTCCATTGAGCGGACTCCTCTTAAGGTGTTCACATCAGAAAGCAGTAAGTAAAAGCGCAGATCATCGAGGTAAGTGCGGTGTCTCACTTCATGGCTCAATTTACGAAGTTCATCTCAGTCGCGCGTAGTCTTCATGTCCACTCGTTCGAAACCTCTCTAGCGCAGCTCTTAAGTAAACCCACTCCTCCCTTCGTCTACAAGCCATAGTTTACCATGTTGTATCACAAAGCACTGCTAACTTCTGCTTTAGAAGAGTTGAGGGAAGAAAGATTTAGAAGTCAAAAGCATGCCTCATACAACAGCAAAGTGGGAAGCACCGAACACGAAGGAGATTCAGCCTCATTAGGATTATCAGAAATGCCAAACTCGATACAGCCTCCTCGTGCATTTTTTGAAGCGTTCAATGTTACTGAACCGCCCATGGTGAAGGCGTGTTTTCGATTCCGAAGAGATTTGATGTATCAAAGTTTTGTCAAAGCAAATGACGTTGCCATCCAAATAAAAAAATGCCCCAACGCAACACACCATTCAACTCTTTTGTGTCAAAGAGATGTTTTGAGAATTGGAGGTGGAAAACCTTTGAGTCGGCTTGTTAGCCAATTCAATGACTCTCCACATGACTGTCTGTTACGCTCTCAACCGATGCTGCAGCGGTGTCGGTTTTAACAAAAGGCCAGCCACTGGGGAGGAGCTGATTTTTCAATGCACACTGGCACTGTTGTCCGTGGTATTTGTGAGCAGCGTCTAGACTTACCTTTTCTCACGAGAAACCCTCGCACCGGGTTTTAGGGCGGATGAAAATAGGGATGACGTGAAGTTAAAAAAGCCTACCACTGACACAGTCTTGTGACACTTTGATTGCTTAATAAAGTCTGGACTTTGAACTTCGTCTTTGTACCTCTACTGCACTAGCCAATTAGACCTGAGCCCTCCACGTCGACAGTACAGATTCCACCTCAGTGCTGTGACTTCTTTCATATTTGCTGAAGTCCAGGGGTTCCAATGGCTCCCAATAGCAAGAGTAGCATATCTTCCTTAAATTTCACCTCGGTAATATGGGCAAGGAAGAGAGCATTCGAACTGAAGTCAGGACTTTGCTCTTTGCCGGCAGAGTGGATTCATTCCATTTCAAAAGGTGGCAATTTTTTTTCTCTTCCACCGTCAAACTTTTCTTTTTAGTGGCAAATGCAAGCAAACTGAGTCTAAGTCACGCAATTCTCCAACGGACTGAAGGTTTTACCGCTGCCCACCCGTCATATACAAAGGTTACAATCGAAACCATGTTTTAATGACCTCTGAACTATAGAATATTAGCTGAAGCAGTTTCAATGGATTCGCTTAGAAGTCATTTAGAGATAGCTTCATCTTCAACAAGAGGGTAGACTTAAATAAAGCGATACAGATTACGAGTCCAAGTGGTAAGATGTGGGATTTTTACTGGCCTTCGTTAACATCGGGCTGATCTCTCTCCCATTCCCCAGCCATTGATAGCATATTTTTGCATTCGAATCTACTTCGCCACCCATCTTCTAATTGCTGTTAGATTCTGAAGTTATAACTCACCCAAGTGGGTGAACTAAGTGCAACAACTGGTTTGAAAGTGTTTTACGTCTAGCTGTTTGAACTGTCTGACCACCCCCTCAATCCCACTTTTGGAGGTAAAAATTTGAGCAGGCAGGTGCCAACGAGCCTATTTTTATGATTCAAATATGGCGGGCGGTTACGACCTCCAGTAGCCAACTGAGCCTGTGATGAGGATACAGGGCTTAGTTGTTGATCCATTGCCACTGAAAACACCTCCTATTTGCTTAAGGGCACTAGGGAGCGGTACTATGGGAGGAGCTTTTCGTCTGCCTCGTCAATAGGAGGTTATTGTTTACGAAGACTTCACGGCGGAATTGGTGCGAGAGGCACAACCCCACAACTGTTGCTAGCCCCAGTGTTTTTTTTGCAATATACTTGGTGATAAGAGAGCACAGAATCCATAATGAAAGGCTTTTTCGACGCCTCATCCTCGAGACACGACGTCAGCGAACTATGATGCTATGCTTCAAATCCGCCTGTCACTTGAATAACGCGGGTCTTATGCATAAGTTAGTAAATAACTAGTCTGTAAGGAGCCTTGACTATAAAGGTGTTGACTCTTTGAGACTTTGAAGCTATGCCGAATAAGCACTATTGAAGTCTTGAGGAAGCAATTTTGTGTGATGTTATGAAAGCTTGCAGAGATGCCTTACTCCAAAGCATCCAAGTGAATAATTGAAGAGTTCTAAATGAAGGTCCCTCAGGGCTTGATTATTCAGTGGAATGAAACACTTTCTTTCCTTGGATCAACGCATAAATTCAGCATTTAGATCACCTTGGATGCAAACCCACTGCAGTATGGTTGCCTCACCGAAACCTTCTACATTACCTACTGCTTGATTTACTATCAGGTGGACACCGCAAGCAAGTTGAAGGACTTGCCGTTTGGTGTTTGTGGCTGGAATTAAAGTAGATCGGAGTGAAATCATACACTATTTGCACAATCGCAAGTAGTCAGCTTAATTGCTCTTGACGCACACAGCGCTGTCACTTGACCAGAGTTGATGAGTCCCCTATGAGGCTTAACGCGTTCAAAGAGGATGAAAACATAATTTCGGTGGTCGAATTTAGATACAATATGAAGACAACTTTAAGACTCTCAGTAGTGCATTTAATGATGCGTCAAAATGCGGTGATCTTACCTTACAACACAGTCAAATGTCACTTCCTTTCGTCGTTAACATCAACCCAACCAAAACGGACGCGGAGGGAGCAAATTAACAGGTAACTAACTTTATTCACTTTACATAAGAAAAATAGCAGCCTCATGTGTCCAAATGCAGACAACGAAAGACATCGGAATTCGTTTCCGAGAGGTGGATTTCATGTCACCATAAAAATAGCAATGACAATGGCAAGTTTCCCATCTTCAACAGCGGCATCTCTTCAGTAGCGTTCGAAAGGAGCGTCGGAAACTAGCGCTAAAGAGAGAGTAGAGAATAAAGTTTACAGAAGCGTTCAGCATTAGTAAGAGATTGGAGATGTTGCCAAAGGCTTTGATTCTCGCATCGGAGGGCTTGAACCAGGGTCTTATCAGGCACACCACAGCACTGGGTGCGTTGAGCATGCAAAAGACCACTACAACAGCAATCAACGTGATGGTGATTGACTGCTTGTCTTGATGGGAAGACCTACGAAAGGCGACTTCATAGTTGTGTTTGCGATCGCGGTTCTTGCATCGGAACCAGTAGTAGTGCTGATCGCTAGTTGTGATAAATTCTCTGCCCACTGTCTCATCTGCGCCTCCTGAGGTAGGCAGTGTAAATGTGTTCCTATCAGAACCTGTCTCGATTGGAGACCTGTCAGATGGAGCAGACCTTTGAAATGAATTCTGTTGGTAGTATCGGGTTGCAATCCACCATTTTCGCCATACTAGTTCCCTCCTAACAGGCGGAGGTTGGGCATCAGGCAACGCTTTTCTCCTCCTCTTAGTGTTGATTTGTGCTGTTCCAGCAAGAATATCTTTTCGCTCGTTGTGCGATTTAATTACAGACCTAATAAGGAGGGCATTGAAGATTGTTAAAACAACAAGTGGAATGAAAACGAAAAGCGCCACAATAGCATAGGACCAGCCGAAGCGGTCTAGCTGAGTGCTGATCCAGGTTGATTCAAAGATGTAGAACATCTCCACGCAGGGCACCATTGGGTTATGTTTGACGTTTGACCTCTTAGCACTGTTGGAACACGTCCTTCGAGCCTCTCGAATCTTCCACCCAAAAAAGTCGGGCAGAGTAATGATGGCGATAAGCAGGCTGATAAAAACGATATTCCACTGGGTCCGACGGATGGAAGAGATCTTGCGCGAGCGAATGGGCGCAGAAATGGCCACAAATCGTTCAATAGTAAAGGCGCAGGTTAGCCAAGTTGTGATGTTGCTCCACATGTTGCCCAGGGGCAGGAGATATGTGAGGGCATTCATGTAGGCAGAAGACATTTCAAGAGACGGGTAAGTGCGCAGAGTGAGGGGCAAACCAGTGAGACTATAAAGGAAATCGTACACCGCCAGTGCGCAGAGGTAGTACGAAGTAGAGGAGCGCATAGTGGCTGAGGTGAGAACTACTATATTCAACACATTGCCGGCCATGCCCACCACGCAGACGATGGGCATGAGGGTGTGGGTGCAGATAATGCGGGCCAGTCGGAGAGCGGCGTTGCATTCGAAAACATCGCTGTTGTTGAAGGGCACGAGGGGAGCAATAAAAGTGTTCAGTTCATTCGCGGATACGTAGCCATCCATGACTGTCTAATACTGTGCTGAGAGAAGCTGAATGAGCAGTAAATGGGGGGCTTTGTCTCCCATATTTTCCGTGCTACGTTCCTACTGGCTGGCGCTTGGCCAATTAGGTAGGTCATTAGTCTCGCCGTACATTTCTCCATATAAAAGCCCTACCATTTATTGTTTGTCCTTACCAACAAATTTTCCAATTCGCAGTTGAAAATGCTATGTTTGAACCAAGAACTTATTACTGAGCTCTGATTTAGCAGTGATAAACGTGAAGTCCATACGCCAAAGACTACGCTAAAAGCGTCATCGGAATTTGTAGCATGCTGCACACCAAACGGTCTGCAAAGTCTGAATCAGTCTCGTGCAAAAGGAAACTATCATTTGACTTGTAAGAGATTTTTTACACGAGAGCAGTCAATTTTAGGAAATGGGGAAGAGGAAGAACAAATTACCTCCTACTTTTACAAGCGACTTATGAGTGCACGTAGTGGGTGTCTGTAGGAGGTGCGGTTGACTTTGTGGCGCTCACTACTACTTCCGCAATCGCTGCAAATACAGGAGATGAGATCAGAGTTGCCATGTCACTAACGCATTACCGAAATTTTCACTCCCAACCGACGTAGAGGATGCTGTTGCTGCTGCTGCTGCTTCTACTGTACGCTCATCGCAATCTACAGGAGAACATCCATGCTAATTCGTTGCAAGGAGATCCGCCAGAAATTGCACAAATCCCTTTGGCACCCATTTACGAATCGAGGATAAGTCTCACCTGACTTTGACAATGTACCTCGTTTACTTGTCTCCAAGACCAAATCGAAGGCAGCTTTTGTTGACTTAATTACTTACTAGGAAGTGTTTATGATTGATTCACCCTCCACAGTGGTTCAGGACGGCTCGTTCATGCCATCCGTGGCGGAAGTCGAGAAGCCCTTTTCCTTGCTCACGATTAAGTTCCATCCAAACAGGTACGCACTAAAATGCTAGTAACGGCTGCTTGGAGGGCAAATCACTGTACTCAAGCAAGCATTTTCCGTCAACGTCACTCATTTCAAAAGGCTATGCTCAAATTGAAGCCTGACTGTTAGTCAGAAGTGCAGAGGAAAGGGACCTCTCCTCCATTTTCAGGAGGCAAATGGCACTTTCGATAGGCACTTATACGTTAAGCAGATAGAAAAAGCACAAGTAAAGGTTAGAATTAAGCAATTTTCATGAACGCAACTTTTGTTGCGTCTTTTTAAGTGTTTTGCCTACAACCAGAGGTGGGTGCGAATAGGATTTGGCGTGTATGAATGAGTTTTGTCGCAGGACATTAATCAGTCCTAGGCATCATAAAGTAAATAAATTTTTAAACATTCATTGAATCCCGTGAGATCCATTGTCATCGATGAGCAATGAAATCCCTCTCCAACTTGATGAAATTCGTCTTAGAAGCTTGCTTTCGCTCGCATAAGTGATTCTGGTATGACAGCCTACTTGCCAGTAACTTACGCAGAGGAGTTTTCACAATGGCAAATTCCCAAATGCAAGTTTTATATCTCTTTTCCATTCAAATGGCACAGAGTCACCGACCGCTCACCGTTCTCTCCTCGGCACTCCTCCCGTGGACGGCGTTGTAACACCTCTACAATACCGGAAATTGCTATCCAATTTCAATCGTTTTCTTCTTCCTCGAGATTGACTCAAAGACTGCTAGGCTAAGCAAAGTGAGCATGATCATTTCTTCACTTACCTTTAAAAGAGTGCTTTTAGGCTGCCTGTTTTGCCAGCCTCTTTCTAATTGCTGTGAAAAAGTGGGTTATCCATTATTTTGTCAAATGTCTACAAAACAACGAAGTCTCCTGAAACCATTCAGCAGTACCCTGTACGGTACTCCAGACACGCAATTTTACTGCTCACATCTCCCCTTCGACCAAAAAACACGTTGTTTCCATTAAAAGAGCAGAACACAAGAAGAAAGTGACTGACAGCAAAGTAGTTTTCCGCCTCAACCAAAGTGAGCACGTTCTGCTTCTCATTTTTTGCCATGCACATACCTCCTAGCATCTTCATTCCTCATGTGACCACGTGCCTTGCGTCTTCACGATCAAGATTAAATAAGGCACTGTAAATTTGACTATTCCTTGCTGTTGTCAATAAAGTCTATTCAGTTGCCTCCTTAGTGCAAGTGACGCGGCGGAAACAGGTTCGATAAAGTGTGGCTTTGTATTTACAAGGCTGGTAGTGATGTAGCGCGTGAGAAGAGATACAAATGGTGACATAAGGAAAAGGAGAAAGGGAGGGAAGGGAGAAGAGAAGGCTAGCACTTCGATGCTTATTGTCTGTAGAAAGCACCTCATCAACTACACCTCACTAGTGCAGTCGAAGTCCTTTTGGGTGATAGCGGTGAGGTTCTTCATCAAACCCTCCAAATTCGCCATCTCCTCCGTTAATTCCTCGGTGCTGTAGACCTTCTGAAATGGAGAGTCAACAATAGCAGTCTTGTTAGGCGCGAATCAAACAAGGCAACCGTGCCTCAATGCACCCCTCCAGCGAAAACGTAAACTATTATTATCGAAAAGTTCATTTATGAAGTGCAAAAGTACCACATTCTGTTCATATTGGAATCCCTCATTGCGTCTGAGTGGAAAGAGGGCGACTTTTGTTATTCCCACTTTATGCTTCACCACACGAGTTGAATTTTCGTCCCACCAAAGCTTGCGCTTGACTGATTTCTCATAAGGTTTGTTAGAGGCTGTCCTTTTTCCATTGTAAAATGATTTTCACCTGAATTCACCTTCAATCCCCACATCACTGCTCGTCTTAGGCAGTAGTAATCACAGCCAAACACGTCTTGCCTTTGACAGCATTGTCATCCCGACTCACAAAAATGTCATTCCAATCCATTTTACTGCCACGAAAGGATTAAGCTGAGTGAATTATTTATTACTTGAGAAAGACACTCCCTTAGACGCCTTGGATGCGTACCAGTTATAGAAAGTTTTGAATAATTCTGAGACCCTTGATTGGGCTTGAATGATATGATAATCCTGATTTTTATTTAAGTTCTGCGCTGGACAGCTCGCACTCCCCTTCACCAAGCTCACTAGCTTTTTTCCATCCATTGTGTCTAGAAACAAACAATGGTCGGAGATTTGCACCCTCAAAATTTAAACGCGCCCTACTAACTCATGTTGTCGGATGAGGAGAAGCGGGGTGCTCGGCATCAAAGACCTTATTGACAATCGGCTTTCAATTGCTTCAATGTCGTTATCCAAGTATCCGCGTTTTCCTAGTTTTTACTTTCATTTCCCTGCGTCGAGACTGAGCCCAATTTTCAGTTTAGACTACATCACGATTATTTAATCGCCTCTGAGGGCCAAATGTATGGATGACGTGAAAGTGGGCAGAAATGGAGGCGCTGTGCGTCTGACCCAACGGGCTTGACGAAGCAACGGTGTGGACAACGAGGGGCGTAAAACAATTATTCAATGCCAAGTCTCTAGTTTGAGTTGGTGGTCGATTATCCTGAAAGCGAGCGGCCAAAATGCTCTCGTCCATACGCACCATCGGTTTGCATGCACTTATGCTAAAAATACATATAACAACTAGCTAATTAAACGCATCCTACAGTAGAGCAGACAGTATTTTAACTCAAAGACAAATGTGATTTTTTTGTCATTTCCATGACCAAATCCTCATTGACTGATGTGGTCAATAGAAAGTCTGCGACTAAGTATGGCAGAGAAATGAGTCAATTTGGTTTAAGAGGTGATTGCTATGCATGAACACCCCACGCTTATCCATAGGTAAGGAAACGTCTTTTACAATGGGGTATTCAGAGCACTAGGACGGTGGGAGAAATAAACAAGGATCAGGCTGTGACCATCAAAGGAAGTTGGGACCAGATAGGCTTTAGTCTGTGGAGAGGTCAAGGTGAGGAGAGCTTATCTGATTCACGTCTACTTGTCATAAAGAGAGGCTTTAGGCAAGGAAGCTAATTGAGTTGAAACTGAAACTCACGGATAGACTCGCGTCATCAAGGGCAGAAATGCGAGGGATCGGGAGGGCGTTGGAGTAGGAGTTGAGCTTGATGCTAGCGTGGTTTTGATAACGCATCTCGTCAGACCTGGACCGTTCACCCTCAGAGGTTGGTGTATCTGAAGGCAAAATGAAGGATAGCAGCACAACCAATCAACCACTGCTCTTGCAGAAGTCACTTTCAAAACACCACAAATAAGTAATCGGAATTTGGATTTCTTACTTTTCATATAATCCCGAATCCCTCAATCCGCTTAATTAGCTATTTGATCAATGGAGCCGTGAGATTTCATGAAATCGACTGCAATATTATCCACAAGCATTTCTCTCATTTTCCCAGTCCATACCAACTTTGTAAGTGCTCACTCCACCTCTCAAATAGTGTGGTAAATCTACACTTTTATTGGCGAGAAAGCACGCTAACAGCAGTCGCAAGTGCAGGGATGGAGGGTGGCTAATGCTGCCGTTCACCCAGCTTAAGGTCAAATAAATCCTCTTCAAACTAGACATCATCTTTCGATGAAGAGGCTGATGCAGAACTCTGAAATCCATCCACTCCTCCATAATGAGGACAACTGCTTCAGTGAGAGAAAGCAATATGGATGACTAAAGTGGAAGCATGTGGGATCAACTCACTAAATTTGCGCGGAAGAGTACCACTGTTGATAGGGTGGGTATCGAGGCGCGGTTGTTGACGCACCATGAAAGATTCCGTGAGGATCTTGTCGCCAATGCCCACAAGTTGGTTGCTGGTGGGCGCGCTGCTGTCATAGCCACTGCTGCCCGCAGTGGAACGCGAGGCCTCAGCAGACTCGCTACTCCCAGTGGCACCCACTCCGCCCACTGTCTCGGTGCGGCCCATTTCAGGGTAAGGCAGTACCAGTGGTCGAACCGGCGATTTGTTAGGAGAGGCGAAAAGATCCTCCATTTTGGGAGGCAGTGGTACTGATTGATGGGGGTGATATTTACGGTAGCAGCCCCCCCGCTTGCCCTCATCCCCCACCGAACGCATATCCGGTGAGCCTGCTGTAAATCAAGGAGGGGCAGGTGTTTTAAGTATAAAGCCATTTTAACAATAACATTAGCCAAATCAGCGTTCAGTGAAGACTTCCACACATTGCCATCCGCAATGAAGGGGCTAATATCAATTAATACTTTTAACGTGGGAATGGTGAGAACATTACAGATGTGTCAATTTGAACAATTGCACTAAGCTTTGACAGGAGCACAGTAAGAAGTAAGACAACTGCTCACCAATGAGGCCGGCATGTCCGAGAGCCAAGCTTCTTTCACCCGCAGCAGTAGCGATGGCAGGAGGTGAGGTGGTTCCGTGCTGTCGAGCCGGTGAAATAGTTTGATGCGACGGAAGTTGGTGGTACCCTTGGTGGTAAGAGAAGGCCGTAACCAAGTTTGCCGACTTGGCACTCTCGAGGTCGCTGTCAATCGGCGTGGTACGACAGTCTGACTCTGAGCCCCCTCGACCGGCAACACCACCGGCTGAAGGTGTAGGGGCGTTGGTGTGCACGAGAACAGGCTGGCTATGCACCGAACTGGATGCGACACTGCAACCGCCACCGCTAACACCAACACCGCTGCCCATAACGAAGGACATCCCTCCGTAAGGACTGAAATTGGTAGGGTTCTCAAAACCCCCTGGGGGCAATGGTGCCTGGGCATGCATCAGACTTTCCAGGCCACTACCGCCTACACGGTGGGTAAACCCGGCTTCGCAGCAGCTTGGTGAGGCTGAATGGTGGTTGTCGTGACTTGTTTGAGGCATTGGTGAGTTTATTTCTCCCTTCTCAGCAATTCTAGAGGGTTGGGAAGCCGTCAACCATAGTGTCAACAGTTATTGTTGTTTTTCATTATATCACTTTTAGCTGATACTGGTATCCGACTAATTTCTGGCGCTGTAGGAATATGCTTGATTTAATGATCAATATTGCAAGCTATTTAAAGTTGAATTATGTTTACACTAAAGTTGTTTTCGAGATGGACAAAGTGCGGAAGAGAAGAACACTATAGACATGCGAGTGGGCTAAGAAAAAATATACCTTTTTGTCGCTTCAGCAAGGTACTCCTTCCTGACCCTATCCAGTCGACTGCGTGAGAAACGGCGGGTGAGAGCGACGGTCACTGCTAGAATGGTAATTATGATAACAATGACGGCAAGCACGGCGGCAACCAAAATCCATTGACTTTGTCTATCATCAACGCTTCCTTCACCCTTGGAGGGAGTAGCAGTTCGTGCAGCGTCAGAAGATCTCAACGTTTTGAGAACCACTTCCAGCTCCTCAGAGAGGCGTTGAATTCCAGTAGGTGTCATCCTCTCCAACTCGTACCTCTCGCCAAGTTTATTCAGGAAAATGAAACCGGAGCCGTCCGCTACAGTCATTTAAATAAAAACGTTGCACTTACAATGTTTAAGTAACAAGTCAATTATCTGTAAACTGTAAACCACTTGTCAGCACTTTGTGGATAGTTTAGGTAACAGCGAAAGGCTGAAATTTTGTGCTTTATTGATGGTTCTACCAGTGTTAACCCGCTCTGCGAATAAATGGTTATTGCAAAGACGGTAAAAGGTAGAGGCGCTCTCCCACGACATGATGCATCAGTCAGATTGAGGTAACTGGAATGAACCAACTAACCAGATCTTAATGAAACCCTTTTTATCCTTTTAGGGAAGACAGCCGGATTTTCAATCCAAGAAGTAATACTACCAGACAGTGGAGTTTTTTATTCCTCGAGATGAACTTTTATTTAGACTCTCCGAAAACTTTAAAAATGTTGTTGCCCTTAAAAAGGATAAAGGAAAATCCGCGCTCAAAACAACTTGTAACTATTGTACAAACGGATTATAAACAAAGTGACAGGAGCTTTCCTTTTTGACAATTGGGCAGTTAGGCGAATAATGTCGTAGCAATCGAGAGAAAGTTGCCTTTTAACACTGAATAAAACTACTACAGTTGATTAGAATGGGGGAAGAATGAAAAGAGACGCAGAAATTGGTGTAGCGTCGATAGAAGTCATGTCTCATGTCTCAATATCGTCAGTCTGTATGCATATGATTCGAAGAAGCCGGAAACGAGTTGAAGGAATATCATACCCTATTTTCTAAACCTATTACTGGTTTCCTACACAGCAGAATTAGGCATTCTAACGCGCTGACAGCAAAGCCATCTCCAGACTTCATGAAGCATAGAAGATCATTAAGAATAGTCAGAACGCTCCAGCGCTTTGAAATTGTGGGGGGAAAGCGTAAATATCTTGGCTGCCATCCGATGGTTCATTAAAATTAAGGAAAATTAGAGCCAACAGTCAGCCTTGTCGAGGGGATCAAATGTGAGGAGACAGTCTTTCCACAAATACGGCTTTGGTTGTCTCTACTAAGGATCATTTAGCTACCCAGAACTGCAGAATACCGATAAACAAGATTCGCTGATCAGACGCCCGAGATGTTCAGCCATAGACTCCGTCTTCACTGTAAGTCTTCTCTGCCATTGCAACCAACCCGTCATACACTGCGCAATCACATACACAGCACTTTGTTTATAACAGAGGGAAGGGGACAGCGGTACCAACCCTCAGTGTGCGATTTATGGCTTAGTTACTGCCTCCTCCCTCTCCCCCAGGGGTGAGCCAGATCTCCCAGCCTGCTGCATTGTTTACAAAGCGTCACGACTGGTTGCATTTACGACAAGGTTCTCTACTTGTAGGCAGAACGAGAGAGGTGAGCCGAGTTGACAGCTCTTTGAGCTTCTCGTAAATGCATCCATCGGCAGACAACTACTTTCAGGTTCGCATACCCTGTTACTTCTTTGGTAGCACAAACCAGCCACTTGAAATCGGTTGTGTTTTCCTGTTTGTTGCAGTCTGGATTCACTTATTGTACCAAGAGAAAAGAACAAGTGATTGGGATGTGATATCTCAACTTATTGATGCAGACCAGTGGAAAACTAAAGGAAGCTATGGCTGTGGTTTCAAAATAACTTTATAAAAGCGTTATCCTTGCAAATGTTCGGGTACGATTAAGCTCTCCTCCAAGACAAAGGAGCCATGGGCACTGAAATTGTGCCCTTTTTGCTTCATAGGCATTAATGGCGGTCGCCTAGACACAAGGGTAAACAAACTCTGTGGCCTCAAAATATCACCAGCATACCGGGAGCCCTTTTCCACCCGAAATGATGTTTGACTTTTCGGCTGTATCCGCTTACATCTGGGACACTACACGAGATGCCATGCCAGCTCGATTTTAACGATGTGAGAGCAACAAGCACCAGAAGGAAAAGCGAGTTTTAACTTGGTTAGGACTGTGATTATACGCAAGCACAGCTGCCTCAGAAGTGGCAGAAATGCTAAGGCATTTGGGAAAGATAAACACATCAGACACTTATTCACATCCCTGCGCTCTGGTCGATGGCAGTCAAGTCGCCCTTATCCCGTAACCTGGCCATTAAATCTGAACTCCAAATGTCGCCTCCCTCAGATTTCAGATTTTCAGCATTTGCCAAAGGAGGAATAAGAAACAAATCAATCCGAAATATGAAACACGCGCATGAGACCGAGCACTGTGTCCATCACACTAATGACATTAGCGTAGGACATTCCTGGGCCAATGTAACGCATTCGCGTCTGGATGTTGTCTCTGTCTTACGTAGACTATCGCTCATGTTACTTTAAGTTGGCACACGTCAACTTTTTTGCATAACAATTTCACAATGCAAGATTGCGCCCTCACTTTTTTCCCCATCTCTTTTTAGAGAAAGTCAGATGACTCATGTTAGACTGGACATTACTGAACTTACCATCTGCAGTTCTAAAGAAGCAGAGGGAAGACAGTGGACTCCTTCCAAAGCGGTTTTGCGCACTCATAACAAGAACGTAGGGTTGTCCGGTGCGGAGGTTGTGCAATACAGTAGAGTTCTGCGCACCTGACACCGAATGCTCGCTCCACTGCCTCCTTGGAGAACGGTGCTGTGGCCACTCATGGGTGCGCGGTGCATCGAACTCTTCCACGGGCAAGATGTAGAGGTGATAGAGCCCGCGCATGCCAACAGTTGCTACACCTTGCCAATTCACCAGAATGCTGGCACCACCACCGCTACCAGCACTAGTGCCCACCGAGTTGGGTGGCGAAAGATAGCCAGTCATCACTGCACTCACCGTGATATTCTGTGGCGGAGATTCCGGGCCTACACAACAGAAGGGTAAATGAGTTTGCGTCTACAGACAGGGGAAAGAGGGGTTGTGTCTATGAACTTTGCTTTAACTTTATGGTGGTTTATTTGTACGTCTGAAACTTGTCCCCCGAACCCACTAGCAGCGAAGTAGGAAGGATGAGAAAGAGCTGATGGGACAGTAAAGAAATTTTGAAGGATCGGAAGGGCTCCAACAGCCTGCAAGACATTTCAGCCACAATGATTACTGCCAATTAAATAACTCTGCAGTGTCAGTAAACGTAATTATGTCAATGTGGGTTATGAATTATGTCAACCCTTTACTTCCTTTAAGCAAACGATAAGTAGTGATTTTGTTTCGAGTTTAAGAAAGGTTTCTGAGAATGTGGAGGTCGATGAGCACGACGTCCTAGGCACAGTGTCAACGTAGAATTCCCAACACCACCGAAGTGTGGAGTAGCTGATAAAGTCGTCGTAACCATAGAAAGTATTTTAAAAAATAGCCAGTTTCTGGTAGATCTTTGACGATGGTGTTCACTCATCCTTCATTGTGACAAAAAATACGCGGTTTGATAAGTTGGTTCGTATCACACCTGTCTTCCCATAACTGCTTCACAGAACTAAATTACTTCCAGATGAGAAAAATACTCCTAACTTCTGACCAGCATACTCTGTGGTCGATCACAAATATTCTGGTCTTCAGAGGTGGTTTTGGGTAAAATGTGACTGAGTGGTTTGCGAATGAATCGAATCCTTGAGGAGTGGCTGCTAAAACTTCACTTAAGGTTAGCGGTGTACCCGAAGATCACAGACCAACGGGTTGAAATTATGAAATGGAGAGCTGCCTAACCGAGGCAATATCTATTTGAGAAGCGCTCGTTCTTAGGCAGAAACGACTAATTTTTTTGAGCCTTGTTCTCAGGAAACACCCAAATTCGTACTAATAAGGGGCTGACCAAAAGCTGTTAGCCTAAGCCATTTCCCTACGATGCAATTAATTAGTCTCTCATCAGAATGTGTCATTGGAGGAGGAGGAGGAGGAGGAAAGGGGAGGAGAGGGAGAGGAACAAATGTTGGACCGTTGTATAAAAATGAATTTCGGCATGGTATGAAGAGATTACGTTAATGGTGCAGCGGGCGGGAACTCGACCTTAAAGCACCCAACGGCAGGATACCAAGCGCACCTCAGACCTCCAAAGCTGGGGCCAGTGGGGTGAAGTATTGTAAGTCAACGAGATAACCCATGCAAATGGGAAGTAAGCACATTCTATTCATACGCAATATTGTTTGCGGTTATTGTATTGAGGAGGAACAATTTTCATTGCTTTGATCGCTTATGCGAAGCAATTATTCATGTAAATAAGGATTTTGCTGACCACTGCTAAATAGATATGGTAAAAGTAGTTTCCTGCGGTGAGGAAGCAATGGAGTTAATGATAAAGACGACAAACAGTTGCTGCTGTCCATCAATCTGACAGCTTGAGTTTATGGTTTTCCTTCACACGCACCAGGACAAAACGCTGTACGCAAACTGCATGTTTAAAGGAAACATTGCTTAACATAATCAAATCGATTGAAAGGCAACGCCAAAAAGTAGTGAAAACTCACGTTGTCCTGGTGTCTCAAAGCCCTGTACCATACTCCAGGCATCCGATTGTTCAGCGATCCCATTAAACAGGGGGACAACGCGCACCGCAAACTCATAGACCGTGCCGGGCTCCAGATTTCGCAGTACCACACCAGTGGCTCCGGGATCGGAGATGTTCACCAGCAGTGGGAGGACGGGTACAACTGCTGAAGGCATTAGCATAGACTCTCCGGGATCGTGCCGCCTGATGGGGTAGTAGCGCACTTGGAAGCCCAAAATATCCCTGTAATGCGACTTATGAAATTCTCGTGGTAGCTCCCACTGTAATGTCGCCTCCATCGGGGTTATTCCATGAGCCAAGAGATTCACGGGTATGAGAGGACGCCTGGAGGCCTCATGGATGTCTAGGGAATCACAAAATATATTATACGTGAATAAACCCATAAACAAGTAGCGTAATCGTCTGATGGGATCGCGATTTTTGACTGCAACACGTAGACAACTACAAAAGTAATGAAATCCGATTTGATGCCTTAGGGCTAAACCATCGCCTCTTGCCAACGCACAAATCAGTGGTTGGAAAACAAAAACAGAGGATAGGAGGCAAACGATGGCGAAGCGTTTACCATATGCTACACGTATGAACGCCGTGTAAATATTAGTTGCTCGAGTCACAGTTTGACAACGTTACTTTGCCTCTTGTCGGACAAGCTGAGAGATCGCCATCTCTTTGTGAAATTTTTTGCAGATTGTTGCCAAAATGGGATGTCTTGTTATCGTTTACAGATAATCCGAGAATTACAAGGAAGTTCACGGTGTATCCTCTGCAACAAACAAACATTCTCTCCATCAGTTTAGCAGGGCCGCGAGGATCGCTCGACTACATCAAAATACATTTCCGATAGCCTCGTAAAACGTTTGTGAATTGAAGTTTGACGCACTCTCACGTGCACTTTTAATCGCATGTCAAGTGGCTGCTCCTGCATCGCATTGTTGCCGTTCAGGTGTACTGGCTAAAGTGATGAGTCCAAGAACACCGCTCCTCCGCCAAAACGATTTGCAAGCAGTCAGCTAGTCATTACAAGGCGCTAATAACTTTAACTATGTTCCTGAAGCTACAATGTGGAGCCCATTTTTGGAGGCGCAAACGCCAAACGCTCTTATGCCATGTTGAACAGATAGTTAAGGGAGGTAAGAAAGTTACAAAATCACATTTAGAATATTCTAGTCTCGGCAGGTTGACAGATACCCGACCGGATGACAACGGAGTTTATGCTTTCGTCGAGAAATTTAGCATTGAGAGATCCGTTTAGCCCTCTCTCAGGATCTTGACACCGGTAAACATTGGCATCGCAAGCGTTGTAGCTTGTCAAAAATACCACCCATTTTCAGTGGTGAGCCTACTTCTCCGCATAAGAAGGGAAAAATCACATTCGCTGAGATTTTTGTGCTAGACCAAGAATTACGATCACCAACAACCACCTCTAAATGTTGGAGTTGTCGTGTTTACCCTGGAGCAGAAGAATATCAGTTTTTCAAGAAATAAAAATAAATACAAGAAGCCATTGGTTGTCGCAGCACATCAGATGACGGAGGACAGGAAATACAATGTGACCCATTATGTCCCTCCGTGGGATGAATAAAAGCTTGACTGAAATCGGAATGAATGGCATGGACGTTTGGATCTTGAGGAGTACCAGCGGGGATGCTAACCACTGTCATAGCAGGAGAAACGTCCAGACGCCAATGCACGTACAGGCACCCACCTCACCAACGAGGTAATTATCATACACTTGTGAAAACAGGGGAATGGAAGAGGAAGGGCGGGAGAGGTGTCTGACATCTCACACATCGACTTCGCTATTTTAAACCCAACTGATCATCCCATTTGTGATACCGGTTGCTGCTAGTAATAAGTGTTTTGATGGACAGAGGACAAACCTTTCGCGAAAGAATTTCCCTTGTTCCTATACTTGGGCGTCGAAACAGTGTAAGCCGAAGGTCCGTCCTCGCCGGGTATGATTGCAATCAGTCGGAAATGATGTGGCGTTCCAGCTCCTAAAAGCTCAACAACGGGCAATAAGGTTAGCTACTAGGAAAAGTTTACTACTCGCAGATGGGATTCACACTTTCATGATACGAAGGGTTGCACTTTTATTATCAGTCTCATACAAAAGATTTGCTTGATGTGTTTCGAGTCGGAATGGCCATCCCCCTCCGGCTTTTGATCGTGTGTGAAGTCTATCTGATATCTCATTCATTCAAGATGGTTTTACGATTTTAATCTTCAAAGAGTGCTAGCGAGCTTCCTCTTCGTTTCTTGTTATGAATAGCCAACTCATCTGTCTCACTATTGCCGCTAAGTGACTCCGCTTTCGAGTACTTTAAGAACGCTAAACGCGTCGTGCAGGAAAGGCACTTACGAAGATTTTCGAGCGTATATGAAGTGAATGTAGCACTAATCATGATCTCAGCCGGTTCAGCGTCACCAGCAGTCCAAATGAGACGAAGCATGGCATTAGGGTCCTTTTGAAGGGATTCAGCCGCCTCCACTCCCACTTCCTCATCCCATTTGGTATGGCCCTGAGGATCAAAATATCCTCCCATGCGATGACGCCGCCACTTAATAGTCCATGAGAGATGGATAGCATTAATGAGCCCTTGACCACGAAAATCCATTATCTAGGGAAGCAAGAATAACACAGAGCAATTCAGCAATTGTGCTGACGTCCAAATCTGCATTGGAGTGGTCGACATTCCTCAGGGACAGCTATGCAGATTGTGCTGAGCGAATTTGTAGGAGGCACCACAGTCTCATGCTATCCGCCCCTCCTGGCTGCCAGGTTGAGGCCTGCTTTTTAAGCAGTCTGTCTGTAAGTGCGGTGCATTCGTGACGCAGCTAATGAGGCTTTGAGGGGCTAGCTGATGCGCTTGCTCCGAAAAGTGCACCACAAAATGATGCCCAACGATTAACGTGGATGGAAAGCTTTTCATTCTGCCTTCCTTGTTGAGAAAAAGAACATTCGTGAACAACACATACCGGAAGGAAAATTGAAGTAAATAACGCATACATCAGCACTGCTAAAATGCAATAATGGACCAAATTTTTCATAAATTTCCTCAAAATGCGAACAGTTAACGACAGTTCAAATTTTTTGCCTCATGCAATCCATTGAAAATACGAAAGTATTTGAGAAGTTTGACATGGCATTACTGTCACTTTTTTCCAGCCAACAAGGCCACGACTCTGTCCACAAAGAAGCAGAGGCGAAAACAAGTGAGGCACTTGTTTTACTTACCTAATTCCTATCCATCCAACACAAGCTCCTCCTCGTGTTGGCAACAGGGCCTGCAATTAATCATCGCAGCTTCCATGCCATACCTTCATGATTTGTACAGTTGCTTAGTGTGTTTGGATTTTCAGCGCAACTCTCCGCTACTGCGATTGCCAGTTGACCAGATATGGCCTGCCTTCCTTTAGAAATGCCTTGGAGTGAACGCATGAGCCTAGTCATCGTGGAAAAAAGCACCACCAATTGCTGTCCGAGAGGACACTAACGCTGACCCACCAAATCCCTTTTTCACCTCCTCTCATAGAGAAGGAGGGAGGGAGCTAGAGAGGGAGAGAGAATGATATTTCCTGGAATGATGGATGCAGTACCATAATGGCACATCTCAATCAAGATGCGTAGGCTGTCTGACTGTAGCAGGGTGTGACTAAACTGGCATGCGGTCTGGCGCTGCCACCATTTTCCGTGATTCACCGTTCCATTCCGATTGTGTAGGTGGGACAGTGTCTTGCAAATTCATCAAATATTGTCCTTGTGCGATAAAGTCCTATGCTAATCCCATTTCCATCGGATATGGAATGCATGAGTTGGCGATGCCTCTCAGAAGATCAAGAAAATATTTCATCGACATTTTGAGGATTTAGTTACCCAATTGTCTAATTACCAAGTTTACTGACAGCATTGCATGAGCAAGAGATTGCCTCTAATCAATTCACCGTCTCAGAAATGGCAGTTGAGCATTTGGATCTGAAACGCCCTCAAAATGTTCACGACATGAGGACAATCAGGTTTTCTTGGCTCCTCGCGATGTCACTCTAGAACACCAAAACGGCTCTGGTGGATGGTCATCCTCGGAGATCTGGCCATTGAATCCACATTGCAGTCAGACACTTCCCCTTACCCTCCCCCTCTCCACCTCCAGTAGACAAAAAAAAGCCTACGTGAAATTGCATTTTGATGTCAGTGAGCTACGAAGAAAGCGCTTGTCATCAACCAAACGTATGATGGGCCAAACAGATGACAAAAATCACCGAACATCAGTGAATGCGGATGCAATGAAGATCAATTGGGGAGTTGGAAAGGATTACACGTCGGTCTGTTACCCTCAAGTGTGACGCCTCCAAAGGGCAGTTTAATGCGACGAATTGGAATTTATAAAGTTAGAATCCAACAAGTTACGTGCATAAATGTGTGAATGAAGACGGCATTACAGAAAATTAATTATTCAGACACCCGAAACGAGGAAACGGACAAGCCGACGATTGCAAGTCTTCATGGGGCGGCGAGACGGGATAGCCGCCTCCGCGTAATTTAAAATCAGTTGATTAGCCAGTCATGTCGCAGTCTTTGCCGAGGCCATGCTGCTCTCCGTCACTGGGACTCGAGATCAGCTAAAAAGTGCAGTCTCTCAATGCTAACCCTGCGTTTTGCCGCCTAAGTTTTACTCTGTGCTGACTTTTGGAAAGTTTACATTAAATACTCTTGGATAAAATGGAATGCTAGTTGGGGCTTTGGTTCGTTCTAGCTAAAAGCAATCTAGAAATCATTTTTATTTAGCAAGTACGAGGTAAAAGTTCCTCTTTTATGGAAGTAGAACTATCTTTGGTTCAAATTAAACGTAATCAAAGCCACGTAGTAAAGTTTTTAACAAAAACTCAAGGCGGAAAGATAGCTTTACACGCCTTTGCGCGACAGAAAATAGAGATGCTACTTTATTTTCGGCCATTGTCTCTGCGCTAAAGACGGGTGTTCGCTTGTTACACTGTCCCCGTTCTCGTAATCTTTTGAATCATCCCCAGTAGTTGAAGTGACGCTCTTCTACCTGTAGCAGAGATGCAGCAAATTGCCTGGAAGAAGGAGTAATGAAGCGTGCCGGGGTTATCTTTTCCTCATGCGGCTGTGACTAAGGTCTTGGACAGTTTTTATACATCATAGGCTGCAATGACACTCCAGCAGGCACCGTAAACTGAATGAACTTGTTACCTAGTCTGGCAGTTAAAGGAGCGAGCATTGGGGCCCTCCACCTTCTGCAGCCTTAATGCTAGCTGACTTCGACTTTTCATTTCACTAAGCCGATACAAAGTGGTCAACCGTGCCACTCTCTACTCTCACCCCCCTTTGTGAAGAAGGATGACACCTCCATATCCCGAGTTGGTCAGGAGAAGGGCCATCCATTCATCCCTGATGCAAATTTTTCTCTACTCACGTACGAAAAAACTTTATAAAAAAAGCCACGATCCAAGATCCTGCTTACTGGTTAACAGTAAAAGGGTAGATAAAAAGAGAAATTCTCGTAGACACCTCACGTCCACGTGCATTTATGCTTGATGAGGAATATTTGCAAATGTCTCCTCGAAACCTAGCATTAACACTTCTTGGTGAACCATTCCAATGTTCAACACCTTTGTTATAAATCAAAGCTCTTAGAAAATATCGTTCTTCCAATCGAAAATTTCATTTGTTTGGAGTGGCTCTACCAGACTTTCCTCCCGTTTGCCGCCTTGAAATCCTCTTTTGCAAAAAAAGCTGGAAAAATTGCCTCGTTAATGCTTGCAGTTTTTGTTGAAAAAGTCCCTAGTCTGGGTAATGTTGTACGATTGCACTAAACACAAGTAGGTTGGTCGAATCTTCTCAGTTGCACACGCACACTAGTTTATAAAGAATAAGAGGCCATCCCTGTCCTACTTAGGTCGAGGGGAGAGGCTGTTCACAAAAACTACGAGCGCCAACACGTTGAGCCTTTGAAAAAAGTTTTTGTGGATTTGAGGGGTGTGCCCCAGACAGCAACTCGTTCAAGCGGTGCGCTTTGGCTGATGTGAGGCTTTCGGACTTGTGAGTACAAAAAACTACTGCCTTGAGACGATGGTCTCACTTGGTCCATCCATCTAGAAGCTGTTCATTTGGATTTACACTGCACTGTTGAAGGAACTAAAGTAGCGAATCAAGTCAAGCTTTTCGCATAATGAGGTGAACTTCACAACAAATCAACAGCTGTGGGAGCTCCTCTTTCCTCCCATTCCTTCACTGAAGTGTTACTGCCTTCTAATTGAAACTTTGAGTGAACGAAAATAACTTCGTCGCAAAACCCAACAACACAGAGCAATATGCAAAATTTCAACCTTAGGTTTAAAACAAGTTCTCTGGACATCTCAAGAAAGCATCGAATGCATCATGTTTAAATACGTTGAGCAAAAGATAACTCCTGACCAAAAATCGGAGTGAGTGAATTACCGAAGCGAATTATCGCACAGCTACCCTCTCACACCCGTCTTCGTCATCGACATCATCAATTCTCATCAGTGAACGCACAACAGCCAATTGTTTATCTGCCTTCCCCACTGCCTACTTAGCATCCTTCAAACATGTTGACGACGCCATTAAACAAAACTAACGCAACTGTCGCACACGTGGGGCGAGAGAGAGAGAGGGCGACAGCAAATCAACTGACTGACTGACATCTCCCATCCCAGTTTCTAGTGCACGTGTAGTAATGACACTTCAGTCAGGTATCTGGGCTAGCCCTCGGCCACCCCTTCGGTGGGTGCGGGTTTGAACCGAAGGACATGGACCTCATGCGTATGACTCTCATGAACTTCCGCCCTCTTAACGCTTTTTGGCATTAGTTCTTTCCAAGTGAAGCCATGTACTTCACTTTATTTGCCAAGATTTGTTTAAGGTGATGTTTATACCCTCCAGAAGGCCTAGTAATAGGTGCGAAAATTCCACAGAAAGTCCATCCATGCCGTTGCAAGTAGCTAGTATTAGAGTGAATATAGTAAGCAAAGGTTTCAGTCACGTTGACTTGAGTGAGACCAAGGCTGATGAAGGCTAAGTGATCCAAAAATCTTCTCAAGCTTAAGAAACAGAGACTATAATCAAGCTAATATAGCGGATAATTCAGTCGCATCCTTCCATTTGTTGCTCTGTTAACTACTTAAAAGTAGACTCCTATAGGTTTGGAGCGCCTTGCTTTTATTCCTGCTAATAATGGTTATCACGGCAACAGGTTATCCTTGTCCGTCTTTAACCCCTCTCACCTTGTCCGGTACCAGATAGACGGGTTGTGCAGTGGCCCCAAGTTCACCCTCAAGAGTGCCATCGAGGTCACCCTGCTGTGGCGAGAGTAGCGGTGGCAACGGTGGCAATGGTAGCGTAGGTGGTATGGTAGTGACAAAAACCTCCATATCGATGGTACGCGCTTTGCCCTGAGTGCGGAAGCGCACTGGTGGGGACCACTGGCCCTGCCCGCCTCGGGTGCTTGCCAACATTCGAAGGGAGTAATCCGTACCTGGCATCAATTCTGCCATTTAAAAGCAAGAATATTATCAGATCGTGGGACGGTCAACCAGAAATAAGATGTTTCCTCAAACCACAAGTGCCTCTGCACCTATACTAGCCTTCTGCATTTGAAGGTTCTTCAGTTGCGGACCATCCCAATACCTTACGTAACTTACCCACTTCTTGGACTGAGCGTCTGCCCAAAAATTATGCACTTGGCCTCCAGACCAAAGATGCGGATTGATATGCGATGCCTTGAACTTGTCTAGTTTTCCAAACATGACGGAAGTCACAAGTTTTTATGTCTTCCACTTGCCAATAGAGGTTTGGATAACTTTTAAGGTTCTCACCTGCAATTGTTGTAGCACATTTTTATTTTTCTTGCCAAGGCTACAGGGGAGTTTTCGAAAGGGGCGACTCAGAAGGTATACACAAAACCAGGACAATCCAAAAGCCAAAAACAGCAAAAGGGTAGGTAAAGGTGGCTCTTATGACCCTTTATTATCCATTCATTGTCGCACAAACTCGATTCTGCTTGCATGGATTTATACGCAAGCAGAATTTCTATTGTGACTCAAGATGAGGCGTGAATCGGAGAGCACTCAAGCGAGTCCTGTCGGTGGCTGCCTTTGTAAAAGGGAACGGTGAAAGCAGCACATGCAGCTCACTGTTTACACCCCCACATAGGTAGTGGAGCTTGGACTTTGGTCCACATTGTAGTTCAGGTAGTAATAGACGTAAACAGTCTATTCATCATTCTAGTCACCTTAGCTCCATCCCATTTTACCCATCCTGTAGATACTACCACTGACCCAATTTCTTCCTGGTTTGCTAAGCTTTGGAAACCATTTGAGACTCCATCACCTATACTCATTGCCACACTTTCCCTCTATCAGTGCAACAAGAAAAGCAAATATTCACGATCCGGTGAAGGGTACCCCATGATCCATCAAACTGGTCAATTCGGCAATATTTGCAACCTGCACAAAAGTTAGTAGACGGTTAGAAATTCCACGGAGAAGACAATCACCGTTGAAAATAAAGGTAGTGAGGAATTGTTGTTGGACGACTTCAGCAAACTGCCCTTTTCCCAATGTCCATTGATTTGATGCACAAATGATGCTCAACGAGCGGGCAATTTGGTAATAAAAGTTGTCACTTGTGATGGGTGATTATCTTACAAGACAGCAGCAGTAGTTCAAAAAAGACGTCGAACTTCTACGGAATTGAGAGGGCAGAACTAATCGAGGGGAGGTCCAAGTTGCTGTGGAATTTATAAAATACCTACCTAATTATGCAAGGCATATGCCAGAGCATCACATCTATCCCAGCAAGACACCCAGCGTTTTATTTAGCTGCAGATTTTAGGAGGAAACAATAAAAAAGGGACACCATAAAAGATAGGGTGATGAGTATACCTAAAATGTGTGTTTCGTAAAAAAGTAGGAAATAATTAGAGTCGTGGGTGGCCTGAGTCATCATCGTAGTCTGCTGTGGATACTCTTTTGTAAAGCATCCCAAGAATGGGGGAGATCCAATAATCACCACGTTCTTCCCTTCTTGGCTGTTATCCTGAGGACTGCTTTCCATCACAAATCCAACTCCACACACACACACAGATGAACGCTCGTAAGGGAGAGTATCAGATGAAATCACTTAAAGGAAAGATAATATGCAGCCCTACCAACTTGACATTTTGAGAGTGAGAGTCACCAGATTAACTGAAGTGGGGGAGGAGAACGGAATGCTCTTTCAAGTTTCCCAAGAATTAAAGAAAAAAGATGGCAGAAATTAACTTCAAACATTTGCACCTGAAAGTGGCTCCAGCAGATAAGATTCTCCAACACCCTCAGGGCGACAGCTACCTGTAACTGACAAATTATGTTTGGAAGTACGCACTTTTACTATATCTACACTTTAATCGTCATCTGGGAAGTCGTCATGCTTTTCTCCACTTACAATCTCGATAGCTGCATTGAATGAGGGGAGGACGGTGGACTCGTTAAGTATTCACAAAAAAAGTAAACGAGAAACGGTAGGAGAAAACTCTAGTGCCATGTGGTCTGGGCCCACAGAGACCCCCAGAACAGGGAACGAGTGAGACTGGGACACTGATATCTTCACGAATTTAGCGCTTACCAGTCAGAATGTGATCATTCGTCTCCGGGGCGATGGTTATCAGATGCGACGTCTCGTAAGTAGAATTCACTTCCATTATGAAGCCCATCAACATGCCGTTGCATTCAATGTTGTTAGGAACTTCCCATGCAACTTGGACAGACTGACCGCTCAACACTCGCACGTGAATCTAGACGGAAGAAGGTGGTAAAGTGGACGCGCATTACTTTACGATAAGCAGATAAGAGCTAAGGGGAAAGGATTAAAACTAAATACAATGGCATTCGGAGATATTGTAGGAAAGACTATACAACCACGGGTGCAAGGCTTTTCACCATGTTGAAAAAAAGTGCCGATAAATTCTCCACTCTCTCGCTGTCACAGTCGCACTTACAGAGAGCGCAAGGAGTTAATGCCCTTCTATCACCTCCTTTCAAATTGTTTCGTGCTAAAATTACTAATCCAAAACATTCAGGAGGTTGGAGAGGAGGCAAGGAGGACAGAAAAGGGCAAGAAAGGATGCGTAACTGGTATCCCACCATGTATGATAAATGTGGTGACTTCCGCCTCTGCAAAATTTCATAAGAACAGTTTAAGTTCGACATCCCTTATGTACTACCGAGAAGTCATTTGAAATTCACATGCTCATTGCTCCCGCGGTGGCGGTGGTGGTGTCCGTGTGACAGCGCTCACTGCAGACGACAGAAAAGAACTGAATTCCTGACACTGCGTTGTTCGAAGCGGTAAGCAAAGCTAATCCGTTCTCTTATCTTGACGCTCATGGACACATGTAGATGCACAAAGAACTTATCCACATTATGCAAACGACCTTATGGTCGGACTTTCATGCCCCTGAATAAAAGGCGACACGGGAACCACCGAAATCTGTGCACTCTGTTAGGAGATGTGACCTACAAGCAGGTGAGCAGGGGTAGCACTGAGCCAGACCTCGCAAAAGAGGGAGAGGTAGCAAAATGCACCATCGCCAGCATCTCGATCTCCTCACTGGCTGCAACACCAATGCACGCAAGTGGAAACGTTGTGTGAATAATTGAGTCAAGATTACTTTACCCTTTAGTAAGGTAAGGCTTATCGCTAGTTTGTATAACATCGGCGCAAAAAGTTTTAAAAATGGAGCAAAGTGAGACCCACACTAACAACTGGTTTTAAAAATGCGATTGTGATGCAACAGCTCGCCCTGCTTGTATGCAAACCGAACGATAAGACTGGCAGTGTTGAGCATAAAGAAGCTCTTGCCAGGAAGGGTACACGAATGCCCTCTTCTTTCTGAAAATGTATTGAGTGCATTATTTAAAGCATTGCAATTCAATTCCGTAGAACACTCAGAGGTGGATAGTACATACGACTAACAAAGTAAATATCATATGGCAGAAAATGTAGAAAACTGGGCTTTTTCAAGCCGAAACCTGAGAGTCACTATGAAATGACCAAACAGCCTCTTGATAGTGACAATGCCCTCAATATGAATACAGCGGAGGTAATGGTAACTTTGCAGCAATCGTTGTTAACCTCCTCTTGACCTTTAAAAATCGAAGTTATCCATGCCGAAGGAGAGGACAAAGTCTCCTTATCGCGTCCCTGAGAGATGGAAGCATTCCTCGCAGGTGGGCAATCGGATAAACGTACTGGATTCCAGTAGGCACTATGCGTAACAAGCACAGTACATTGCATAAATCAAAACCGAGCGTGACATTTTGTGACTGGCGCCATTGTCAGAAGGACTCGGGGGGACGAGGGCGTGGAGTTCTGTGACAGAACTACAGAAACCTCAGAAACCATTCCATAGACCCCTCCTCCTCCCATGGCCCTCAAACGCGCCACTGCCAGTCCCATCGCCTCCCACCTGAAGGATGACCAAGTGAGTCATCAGGATGTTTGCATGTGCCCAAAACAATTCGTAGCCCATGTAGCTGCCGTCAGTTGCACTCACACAGCAGGGAAGAGGTCAAAAGGTCTGACTAATTTACCGCAAGGGAACATACCTTCATCCAAAGCTTTTGCACCCTATTCCTTTCCCTATAGTCACAGAGAGATGCCGTGATGCAGATGATTGTTGCCATCATCATTCCTCAACATGAGCATTTACAATCAAATCGCCTTCGCTGTTTCTTAATACTGACGACTCTTCGGCACCTTTACTTGTATTGTAGATCGTAGTAGGTCCAAGCTCAAGTAAACATAGTCATTGCACAGCCTTACCCTTAGAATTAACAAGACCTGATCAGCACTACATTTTTTCGTCAAAGAACTCTTAAACCAAAGAACTTTCTCAGGATAATTCATCGCTCTCATCCAAACCTACCTATAAGTGGAAAATGGGATTAGAAGGGAGGAAAGACGGTCACAAAATAATTCCGTCTCGTGCATTCCCCAATTTTCCATTCTTCCACTTCCCCCTTCGCCTTTTTTTCTGAACATTCTGCTCTCCCACGGAAAACTCGCCTGCTCGGGAACAATTAGAACAAGAACTGCAATTTCTCGTGCACACTAGTGAAGACCAAGAGCACGACGACTGAGAAGGAGCTAAGAACTGTGCCGACCTCCGTATGCTCTGAAAAGAAGTGTTTACCCGGCCAAAAATTGGGTGAAAATCTGCTGTACCCTTTTTGCATCAGATACATTGCAGTCCAAGATGTTGTTACTCGAGGTTCACGAGGTTTATTGACTCTGAGCAACTTGAGGTCCAACCACGAGGCGTACCAGGTCCGAGTTCCTGGACGAGTATTAAAAGTTGCGTGGGATACACCCACGAGGTCACATCAGTCGAATTTCAGTTATAAAGGAACAATTTTCACATAAATGCGGGTACAGTGCTTTGCATCTCCTCTCGCCCAAATTACTCTAGGTCATCACTATAATTTATAACTTATCACCTGTCCAATCCATTCCTTTAGACTTGTGCTTCAATCGGCCAGTTTGCAGCATCCTGAACTAGGAGGCTGTGGCATTTGAAGCACGCACAATGTCACCATAAATCATATCACCGGCGTCTGAGACCTTGCAACAATAACCCTCAACCAGGCTTAAACTTCTACTCCTCCGATTTAGAGACACCGAACTATGAAAAAATGGAAAGTTGCCAAAGTAGCACACAGACTATGACCCACGTAAGAGCTAGTGTAAATGAATGACGTCAGATTAGCTGGTGCATATCAAAAGAACTTCTGCGGTTAGTCAAAAGGATAGCTATTTACTGGTCAGATTTAGGTCAAGAGGTCATGGAGTACCAGCAGAAGGCCACGCCTCGGCTTCATCACTTATGCTAGGTCCTCTTTTTCTCAAATTTTATACTTTCCTTGTCTTCACCATATGCCGCGCCTCAGATACTGGTGAAACCCACTTTGCATCCATTTTTTTCCCATACTCGACCAAACTGAGTGCTACAGCTTGCTGATGGGGGCAGCATGTGACCTCTTAGTGGTGCCGGATTCAGACGGAGATAAACATTTGATATCCTACATGTCTCGAAACAGTCAGTCAGAAGCGCGGACAGAAAGGAATGAGGACTAATATTCATGGGCGATTTCTCCTCTTTTGCATCATATCTTCTGTCGCTAGTTTAACGCTATTTTGAAGAGTACTTTTTTACGTAGCCAGTAATTATTAACGGGAAGAAGGTAGTCATGCGGTTAAAAAAGGTAAGAGGACTAATAGCCTTTTAAGGTATACAACGGTACGAATAGGAAATGAAATGCCAGGTAGCGCAAGCTTTAAAAAGTGAGATGTTTATAAAACTAAATGCCTTGTCTTTTATCATCTTGGTACAAATAAACTTTGGCCTTATTCAAGAGAGCAGAAAGTGAAGTGGACATTGGATTCACTCCACTGCCTCTTATGTGGGGTGTGGACAGGCGCCCTATGCTCCGCATCGCCTTGTTGTTGGATGGGCAATGGCATGCACGACACGGTTTTGTCATCCCTGTAAAAACAATCGACTGTAGTCTGAGAACTCTTCGCAACTCCTCCGATTACTGAATCACTTGTGCATATGAAGAGTTTGTACGCCTTAAACAACTGCGGAGAGGACTTAGTCACTGCGTTTGCTGCTCTACGGCAGGCCTATCAATCAGTTCTTTTTCGGTGGACTTAGATTAGAGACACTATTTGGGACACCACTCGTTACTCCTCTTCGTGCAGAAGCTTCAGAAGAAGCAACATCAAAAAGCAAGGAAGTAAAGGGACTTGGACTGGGATCCACACCTTGATGAAGACATAAGACACGATCCGACACAACAGTTAGGTGCGAGAACGTGTTTGGCTTGTGTGATGCTCGGACCCAAGGAAATAGGCAATGATGCGTTCCGAGAGAACGTTAAAAACTTGCCAAATGCCATGGCATCCTCTGCCTGTCTCAAAAAAGTCCTAGGCAAAATTGCCAAAAATTAGTTTCCCGGTTTTAATTATGCAGCTTTTATTGCTCCAAAGTGGAATAGCCAAATGTTAAACGATGAAAGTTCACCATGCAATACAGAAATTGTGATGCATCATGGCACGGAAGATGAGCTCCAACTTCACATCCCTGTGGAGGGTGGTAAAAGAGAGGAAAGGGAAGGGAAACCCAAGATCTCTTGGAACTGGTCAGCGACAAGTTTAATCCTCGCGCATTCCGTTAAGTCTTCCAAAAGTAAGTGTTGCTGATGGCATTGTGGTGCAGGCATAAGGCATGTGAAGACGCCGATGCTCTTCGAGTATACTAGGGGGCTAGTACCCTTGGTTTTAGTCCTAAGCTACCAAACTATAGATCCCTTTTCTAGTGAGAATTATACAACAGAAAGGAAAAGGAGCTGCAAATCATTCAAACTTAAACAACTGCTACAATTCAAATGTTCCCATTCAATGAAATTTGGAATCGTCACCACTATGGATGGGGTCAGGTGGGGACAAAAGCCTTTGTATTACTTAACAGCTTAAGCTACAGTTGAGTCTGATGTGAGACGATGAGAGAGAAGACGATGATCAACTGTTAGCCAGCAAAAATGGCGCCACCTTCACTTGCTATGCTGGCCAACCTACACTGGATTTCATTTTCATTCGAGAGATACGTTTCGTGGTTTGCTTTTAATGTGCTTTAATAAGGCGTCAAGACGGTTTACAAATGTAGAAATGAAACACTGTCCAATGCCAATTCAAGACTCATCTTACGGTCCGGCTACTCCTCACAATCACACTCTGGTCTATCTTAAACTCATCGCTTCTCCAGAGCAAAAGCCATACGCGTACAAACAATGTTTCAATGGACTCCCTTTAGTCGTCCAAACCTTTAGTTTTAAGTGCGCTTTTTGAAGTAAAAGGCACCCTTTATAATGCGTGGGTATTATATTAGTTTTAGATTATGATGGTAGGCGAGAAGTTAGCTAGTCACCATCGCACACAGAAACTTATGAATACAAATTGAAATTCTGGAAAAGCTAACGAAAGCTAACATAAGTGCCTTTATCCCGAAAAAGGTAAGGCGTTCAATTATAAACCCACTTGCCACGTGATAAAGAGAAACAAAGCGTAGGTAAGCTGCGTGCAGGAACTCACCTGAGAGGGATAGCCAGAAGGAGGCGCAGCAGGCACGAGGGGGGAGGAAGAGAGCAGGACAGAAGGTGAGCGGGAGCCGTTGTGGAGGACGGCGCACACCTCCACGCTGTAGAAAGTGTCGGGAAGCATGTCAGAAAGGTGGAGCGCGGGGTGTTGTGAAGGCTCCACCAATCCCTTGATAACACCTGGCTCTCGAATCACTGCCTTGTACCACGGACAGACGCGTCGTCTCACGTCCTCCGCGTGGGTGAGATTTTGCAGAACCACCCTGAGAGTGAGGAAGAGGAATGCGCATCCAGGTACCAGAGGAGTAGCAAAGATGGTCATATCAACACGGGCAGTGTAGAAGTTCACATGTTTATTTTAGTACAGACTGCACCTGTCTAAAGGATTGAGTCTTTTTTGTACAACATTTTTTTCCAATTTTATGGGCGTGTATCAGCGGATTCAAAGTGGTTGATCAGCGATGGCGCAAACAAGTTCGGCGATATTACTCAAATTGGAGGTGATATCATGCCGATACAGGTGTGTTAGTCAAACCTTTCAACCTTGTTGGAGGGCCTATTAACCTGCGTCTTACTAGAAATGCGGTCGTCACATGCGACAGTCACGTGCAGTTTGAAGATTCTGCCAGTCTATAAAACTCATAAGGAATCGAATCCAGCAAACAATGGTACATTTTTCCCAGATTGAAGGGGTGGGAAGAATGTGCTCCACAAACTTACTCATAGTGACTGATAAGTGGAGCTGACATGGGCGGATCCCAGGAAATGTTTAAGGCACCGAAGCTGGTTGGATAAACAACCAGATTTGTGGGTGATAGAGGACCTACGTGGGAGGCGAAAGAAAGGAAGCATTATTTATTAATCTTCGGGGCGAGACAACTGGCTTCAAGGGATAGGAATATCCTCACTTGATCTCTTATCCGCGTGCCGCTTAGCCTTAGTAGTGAGGCTCTTGGTGCTGGAAAAAAAAGCATTCAAATGCGTAAAAAGAGAAGGGTTAGAAGATGACTGAAAGCTCACAAGACTGTTGTCACTTAAAGTCAAGAAGTCTTGCAATTTCAGATGTATAGACTTAATTGGGTGAAAGAAGGGAAAGTATCGCATCTACAAAGTGGTTTAGAGGCCACTCAGATGGAATGCAAAGAAGGACCTACAAACGGGATTCACCTTCGGTTCGCATGACAGTCAAGCGAAACAGTCACATGGTAGTACTTGGAACATTAAGTTTTTGACTTAGTTAATGAATGTTTTGTAGTGTAAAAGTCTGAATCAGAAAAAGGCAGTGACGAAAAGTCAACCTTCCCGATAGGAGAATGCGATTTTGACGAAAAAATACCAACTTTAAACTCTATATTTACTTAACGCATTCTTCAGCAAAGCCTCGATGACAAATAGACCATCAATGGTCTTGCGGTTCTACCGCTTCAAAGTGGCATAAATCTTGACATATCGCATAATTCTAGTGCCGGAGTCAGCGCGTCACATATTTGTGGGGGAAGGAACTAAAAATCGAGTTTGATTGAAACATCTCGAAAATCGATTGCATTCTTTCATGTCACTCACTACTCCAAAAGAGCGAGTTCTATGATATCCGGGCCCTTAAAATTGCATGGCAGTGGTCTACAGCCTGCAAAAGTTGTCAACTAATTCGTGAGAAGCTATTAGATGCATCTATGAAACTTGACCGCTTTGAAGTAAGATCAAATCGGCGGTAGGTGGAACAAGAAATTGTAAATTTACCTGCCTACGCCTGAGAGCTGTGCTAACTCGACGGAGTGAAGTCCATTGCTTGTAGCTAAAATGCCCCCTAAAATCGACAAAGCATGCATAATTCACCACCTCTGTCGACTTCATGGAAGGCATTAACGGGGTTGACATCATATAAAGTTCAGCCTATTCTAAGAAAATTAAGAGGTTGTTGCCTTTCATCCCAAGGGTCTTCCCTCCTTTAGGGAGGAGGAGATGCTTTTGACCCCATTTTATGACGATTTCACATGCTTGACATCGGAAGGTACAGAAATATTATAACTTTAGGGCCCCTACAACTGATTGATAATGGTCATACGGGCTCCAGGGTGGTAAACTTTAGGTCAAATGGAGGTCATCCCAGTAAGTGGGCAAAAAGTTGACCCAGACACTTAATTCTGGATAAGCACCACACAAGAAGACCGGTGATTGAATTACATGAAATGATTGATTCCACTCATTCCTTCACCCTTATTCCATGCTTACAGCTTTAACTGAAGCACGCAACAGAACTATTAAACCAAAGCAAATCTTCGGAGCATAATAAAAGGACACATGCACCGCAGTCGCATGTGGTCAGGTGATGTGGAGAGATGGCAGTAGCCTTTGTATGACTATATGACCTGAAGGGGTTACTGCGCTGATTAAAACACCTCAGCGCCTTGATTTGGTTTCGCAATCGCACATCAATTTCCACGCAAAATGTGAACTTTTGCTCTTCTATCGGATGTGAGCAGTCGTCTGTCCACTCTACCGAATGACGATGGAAGCTAGTGCAAGGTAGATTAAAAGGACTAACAACTAACTTTTAAGAGAGCCTTAAGAGTAGCACTGGTAACTCTTCCATGAAGAAGTGAATGGTTATAACGGAACGCTATTCATAGCCAATTCCATACCGTATTTTGATGAATAAGACTCATCAAATACTAAGCGCAATTAAGCCTCGATTCCAGAAAGTGTTTTACATCATATAGGTTGATCAGGTGCTCTGTTCATCAGACCTGGAGGACACCCAACACAACCCCAAAAATTCGGCTGTCTTATACAATCAACAGCAGTTTCCATGAGAGCAGATATAAACAAATCAAATTGAATTTTTGGGAGCCGATAAAGTGTATCAGATAGCAAAAGTCATTTCACTCGCCTTAGACATGAAACTAACACTGGATTTTATGCAAAAAGTGCAAACATGAAAGCTAAAGTAAAGAGCTTACTTGGTAGTTCATTTGGAAGAAAATCAAGAAGTATTGTGAGAACAATGACTGCAAACAAGTGATAAGGCTTGTGTTCATGGCGTTTTCGCATTTTATTTCTAGTTGATCTGCGTCATTCGTTCCTACACGAGTTCCCTAAAAAACGAGAGAAGTGATGAACAAGCGCCAATGGAGCAGAATCGACTGCGCAAGCGAACGGAGAAATCGATGAGTGTTTTTTGCGTCGATTCTTACGTCCACATCCAGGTAGGTGTCATTTTGTATGGGACAAGAGCGAATGATTTAAGCTCAGTGATCAAAGACTGCGCAAGAAGAAAACGCAACTTTCTGAAGTTTTTAATCTACTAATTCCCAATCCTCAGGTAATTTTCGCTATACTTATAATGCCCTCGATATTTCGATGCTTTCTTATGTAGAAAAATGCAGTAAATCTCCAAGGGCATAAATTTGGTTCGGAAGGATATGGCCATAGCACCATACTAAACACTAACTGGAGACCACAAATCACGTAGTTCAGATTAAATATACGCTAGAACAACGTTAACAGTCTTGAGTTATTCATTCAGATTTTTACAGTCACCTACACTTGACATCTGAGCGGTGACTCATAGCAATGTTGAGGTCCATGTTCTATAGAATAAATTTGATTTGCTTAAAACTTAACAAAAGTAAGATTCTAAAGTATTTCGAGACATAAAACGAAATCTAGAATGCGACCACAAGGCTCTAAGAGAGTGTGTAATCCGTGTGTAATCCACTGCATCTTTTCCTAAGCCTGAAATTGCAGATAGTCAAATTAAAAAAGATTACATAATATTTCCAAAACTTGCGTCAAGCTGATGCAAATAAAATGGAAGGGACAGAATTGACAGCAAAATTGAGTTTTCAACAACGCCTTCTAGCAAAATCAAGGTACTATGATCAAACACTAACTAAAATCCTTCTATTAAGGCCCAATATAAAGAAAAGTATTCAACATCACTCATACACCAACTTGACACAGAAAGCAGCTGAAGTGAATTGTAATGTAGTCGAAGAACTATATCATATAATTCAAAATATAACCTTGAAAAGGACTTCAAAGTACTCTATCATTACACAAAGGCTAGACAACACGCACATGATGTCTTACAGTTATCATGAGCCTGACAAATGTTTTTATCACACAGGCTTAATTAAACTACCAGTTTTAAAAATAGACATTTAAAAACGGATGGTGTCATTATAATTGCACAAAAAAATCAAGAAAACAGTTACTTTCACATATATCAAAATCTTATATTACTTGATACGCTTGTAAAAATCTATTATTATTAATTTTTGATTTCATAAGTCGAAAGAATTCGATAAACAGCGCTTGGTATGAAGAGAACTTGTACCATTCAGCTGAGAAAACCACAATAAAACTGTGTCAGCAGGCGACAAGCAAGCGTAATTACAATCTTCTCTCGTCGAGTAACAGAGTGCAGCTTGCAAATTATTAACTGACCACATAATCGATCGACAAAGTACGAGAACGCGTTTACCTTTCAAAGATGATGTATAATCATTCAAGGTCGAATTCTACAAAAGGTTATAGTCTACACATTCAAACAAATAAAATATTAAACATCTTTATAATTTTAAACGCAAATTAACCAAAAAATAAATATGTAATCTTGCTTTAAAAAAATAATTATTATTATGAAAACTTTTGCATTTGTGAAAACTCGCAAATTTTAATCTTGCTCGATAATATCCTAACCATTGGGAAGTTTGGGCACGGGCGGTCTATAATAGAAGCACTACATATTCCTCCTTCTATCTTTTTGTGCATCCACGCTACAAGTGCAGTAGTTTTGGGACCTTTCCTTTTCCAGTATCGTCACCTTTGTGCGACTACGCACGAATTACTTCCCACCCTCCGCGTTATGGATGGATCTTAAGAACATAAGCGTTGTGGTCATTGCAAGCACAAAGTTAAAGCTAGTTAATAAGTAATCATAGTAATGTTCCTAGCATTCTTAAGACTTACATGGAGCGTCCTGAGCTTCCTACAAAATCCAGCCCTCCAAACTTCAGGTGGTCATATAAAATTGATCAAATTTTAGAACCAGTTCTTTTCATCAGAGTTGGAGATAATTTATTTATGCAAGAATAACCCCTTTTTAGAAGAACTGAAAATTCGCGTAAATATACTTCTGCCATAACCACGGTACTGAAGCATTTAAAATTTTTAATGAACTTTAATAATGACTCCATGAGTTGAAATCTACCAATGGCATGAGAATTTGATCATACACTCGCCACTAGCTTTCAATTATAACATTAATGGATACGCTATCTGATTCAATTTACTTTTATTCTGTCCAGGACCTTAATTTTAGTGTCAATAAGATGCGCTTGGAATCTGATGTCCGAAAGCTAAAGCTAATTAAATAGGGTTCTCAACCGCTGACAAGCTCCGCAATTGTTATCATTTACAAACTAACATCACATTCCCTCCCGCTACCTATTCATGACGTCCTTGCCGTTGTAAGGTGGAAATTTACCATCTATGCCTCGCCTATTTTGATTTGGCTTCCCCATATATATGCTTAAACCACATCCTCGAACTGTGAGACTTATCGGATTATGGAATGTAAATCGTGTCGAATTGAACTCCCAACGACCACCAAATCCAGGCGCCATAGAACCTGCTTAGGCGTCTGAATGAGTTATGCATTCTATAATTCGAGTAGCCAAACGGGAGAACCACTCTCGAGAATCAAGAGGTTAACGGTAGCGTTACTGTGAGTGTTAAAGGGCACACCTAACACATCATCATCAGGCTCATATTACACACACCTCGTGAGAACAGAACATGTGTACAATCAAAAACATGGGCTCAAGACGACACAAAGCAAGAGGGAAGCAAGACCTTGTTGGGCGGGCGTCAAACAATGAATGGGAGGGAACGCAGGCGAGGGTGGGAAGAGGGGAACGCGGGTAGATGGGTGGAGGCAGCACCGTGTGCTTTTCGATTAAACTTATTATTAATTTCAATAAGTATCGTAGTTGATTCGTGTTGAGATATCACTGCGCATTATCGGTGTTGTGCTGTGGCCGTCTACTGGAAGCACACCTGACCCACTTGCACGTTCATTTTTGCCTCCGCCTTCGCGAAGGCAACATCACGCACTGGCAAGCGAAGTGGTGGTCCGTACACATCCAATACTACTTCTTTAGGAAGGCCAGAGTTGTTCTGCATTATGAGAAAAAGGGAGAGTTGAATTTCTTGCAGCTCAAAACGTCTCCTCCAGTTACAATAAAACAGTCTATCAAACATTTTGAATGCAAGGAAGCTTACCTGACAGGTGTTAGAGGCGATGCTGAATTTGGCATGGACTCCGTTGGATGTGAGCTCTATTTCGTTGTCTGAGTAGAGTTTGAGACTCTTGGAACAGGAGACAGTTAAGGTTTGGTGTGCACCCAAGGAGCGAGCCTTCAGCATGAGCAGCTGGGTACCCTCGACTTTATAGAGGAGGTTCCCGTAGTCCGCTACTTCACCCAGCCATGTAAAATCATCGATTTCACTCTGCTTCGCAGTACTCACGGAGTAAAAAGCCTGATCGGCATCAATACATGTCTCCTTTGTCCTGAAGTTGCAGTAGACGTAAATTGCGTCTTCAGGGCCACCACCGTTTGGATCCACCCAATAGTAGCCTGCGGAAATGCATTAAATAGGATAATTGTTGAAGTTACTACTATTATGCTGGATAATAAAATAATGAAAACTTACCATCCTGTAGGTTGGGATTAGACTCGGCAAGGTCTCTGCATGTGAGTGCGGGGACATCGCGAGTACCAAGGGGAGAAGAAACGGATTCGACGCCAAAGACCTGAGCAACGGCTGCAGCATCTGAATACATGATTTTGCCCTTGGTAGGTGACGTCATCACAGGCATCTTGACGGCAGGTGGACCAGGAGGACCTGGAGGGCCCGGAGGACCCATAGGTCCAGGTGGACCGCGAGGACCATCGCGACCAGTTGGACCTTGGGGCCCTGGGAGACCAGGGTCTCCACGAGGTCCCTTGACGCCGGTCTTTCCCCGCGGCCCGATAAGACCAGTCTCACCAGCGGGACCAGGGTTTCCTTCAGGTCCTGGCTCACCAGTGTCGCCACGGGGTCCGTCGTCTCCCTGTTCTCCAGGCAGACCCGGAGGTCCCATCCACCCAGGGTGACCCTGAGGGCCTGGAAGACCATCAGGTCCTGGACTTCCGTCCTTCCCGTCGGGACCAGGTTCACCGGCAGGCCCAACGGCGCCTTGGGCTCCGGGCGCTCCAGGTTTTCCGGCACGACCACGGGCGCCAGGTGCACCCTGTCGTCCAGGTAGACCAAGAGGTCCTTCCAACCCGGCAGGACCGGCTGAGCCCCGCACACCACGAGGACCACGGAAACCAGGAACACCAGCATCACCAACATCTCCAACTGGACCATCAGGTCCAACAGGGCCGTCAAGACCAATGGGTCCTTCAGCGCCCTCCTCACCAACTGGACCTTTACGACCTTGAGGACCAGGCGGGCCTTGTGGACCTGGGTCGCCAGTAGGACCCTGTGGGCCCTGCGTCCCAGGAACACCCTCCGGACCGGGAGGTCCCTGAGCTCCTGGACCGCCGTTGGCTCCACGCATTCCCTGACCACACAAATTTTGGGATGTAGGAGAAAAATGAAACATGAATAACAAATGATCACTGCCTTACCTGTGAACCCATTGGACCATCGCGACCAACACCACCTTGAGGTCCCTTATCCCCCATAGGACCAGGATCACCGGTGGCTCCTTGGTCTCCCTGAACACCTTCCCGACCAGGAGCTCCATCCCTCCCAGCAGGACCAGCTGGGCCTGGAGGACCCCTGTCTCCAGGCTCTCCCACCCTCCCAGTGATACCAGGCTTTCCACTTGGACCAGCCCCACCGCGCAGACCGGGAAGGCCATCAAACCCAGGAGAACCAGGACGACCTGGTTTACCACGTGACCCAGGTTGACCAGTAGGACCAGAGGCTCCGCTATGCCCCATAGGACCAGGCAGTCCAGGAGCTCCACTAGGGCCGTCGCGACCAGGGTTTCCATCAGGACCCTTGGGACCCTGTGGGCCCCGCTTACCCGGAGCTCCAGGAGTTCCTGCTGGACCTGGTTGTCCCTGAACTCCTTGTATTCCAGCCCGGCCCTTGGGTCCTTGAGGTCCTACACCACCGGCTTCACCTGGAGGTCCAGATACCCCGATGCTTCGCCCCATCACTCTAAGGTAGCCGGGAGGACCCTCCTTGCCCGTCGGGCCGCGAGGTCCAGCTTCACCATGCTTTCCAGGAAGGCCACGAGCTCCTTGGCGTCCACGATCACCTTTGTAGCCTTGGGGACCTGGAGTCCCATCTTCACCAGGTGCACCAGGAAGACCCTATAGAAACAGAAGTCAATGATTAGAACTAAGAACTGGAGAAAAAATATATACTTGTGCTTACCGCAGCACCCATGACTCCCATAGGACCCATGGGACCAGCATCGCCCTTAGCTCCAGGCTCACCGGGAGTACCAGGCGGACCAGGTGGACCAGCCTCACCACGATCTCCAGCAGGACCAGGACGTCCGCGAGGACCAGGTGGTCCATCTTCTGCGTCTTTACCAGCTTCACCCTCTTTGCCGTCATCACCAGGCTCACCACTGGGACCACGTGGACCTCGAGGGCCGGCTGGTCCATCGGGACCCATGGGACCCTGCCCACCCTTGGGACCCTGAAGACCAGGCCTACCTCTTGGTCCAGCAGGACCAGTCTCTCCTTGTATGCCTGCCGGACCTGTGGGTCCCTTGTCACCTCGATCTCCCTTGGGACCCACTGCACCGGTGGAACCAGGAGTTCCGTGCTCGCCTTGAGGACCCTGAAAGATAATCCTCAGTAGAATAAAAATACATGGGAGAACGCATCAAACAGACCTAGTGACGAATACCTTGTCTCGTATGATTGCCGAAAAAGAAAACATGACCTTTATTTTTAGTTTATCAAACAAATCAAAGCATGTAATAAAATCCAAATAGGTACTTGAAAAACGTCTCTGGGCTTCCATAAGCAGCAGCAGCAGCAGCAGCAGTAACATTGGGACGAAAAATAAGAAAACATACAGGAGGACCCCTTGCGCCTTGTTCACCAGCAGGACCAGCGACGCCAGGACGACCAGGGGCGCCATCCTCACCAGGTTTTCCTGGAGGACCACGTGGACCTTGGGGACCCTGAGGTCCGGGAGCTCCCTCCTTACCATCTGGACCGGGATGACCTATGAGACCAGCTTTACCATCAGAACCGTCAGGCCCAGCAGGACCAGCTTCACCGCGTGGACCAGTACGTCCGCGAGGGCCCTGTCTTCCAGAAGCTCCCGGCTGTCCAGGACGACCGTCATTTCCAGGAGCTCCTGGAGCCCCTGGGGCACCTGGCGGACCCATTGCACCCTTCTGTCCGGCACGTCCACGTGGACCGCGTGCTCCAATTGGACCCATTGGACCAGGTGGGCCTGGTCGAAAAATTAAATTGTGTACGGTAGTAACAGTAAGCGACACTTATTCATACGATGGTATTTTACTAAGATTCATACCAGTGGGCCCTCGGGGTCCGATAGGTCCCGGATGACCTTGGTGACCGGTAGGTCCAGGAGAGCCAACAGGTCCGGGAACACCGACTGGACCCTTTTGGCCAGCTTCTCCAGTAGCTCCAGCAGGACCAGGAACACCTCGTGGACCCTGAGGACCCGGAGGCCCTGCAAGACCTCGCAGTCCGGGTTCACCCTTTGGCCCTTGCGCCCCATCACGACCTGGTAACCCCTGGAGCAATTAGGAAAGAGATGACCCGGGTAACGATGCCCCTTTGTGTTGATGGTTTGCCAAATTTCAGAAGTCAACTCACTTGGATACCGGGGGCTCCAGGCTGGCCAGGTTTACCGGCAATCCCAGGAGGTCCAGGAGGGCCATCAGGACCACGTGGACCCGGGGCGCCACCCTCACCGACAGCACCAGCAGGTCCCATTTCTCCAGGCTGTCCGCCAATCCCTGAGGGACCAACAGGACCGGGCGGACCGACCATTCCGTCAGCTCCATCAGGACCACGAGGTCCCTGACCTCCAACAGGGCCTGCTGGTCCTCGTGTGCCTCGCGGACCCGGGCGACCAGCTGGACCTTGGTGACCCGTCTCTCCACGCATACCCTCGGGACCATCACGACCCTGATCACCACGCTCACCCTTAGGACCCTGAAGACCCATGGGACCTTTTGTGCCGGGAGGACCAGATGGACCCATGGGACCGGGTGGACCCATTTCGCCTTGTGGTCCAGGCAAGCCAGGTTCGCCATCGCGACCCATGCGTCCATCTACTCCGGGTGGACCTGGTGGGCCAGGTGGACCTTCAGGGCCGTTAGATCCTGGAGGGCCGGGAGGTCCCGGTGGTCCCGGGGGCCCCATTTCTCCGTCTGGACCTGGCGGTCCTTGGGGTCCGCGCTCTCCCTGAGGTCCAGCCTGTCCAGTGCGATACTGTGTATCGCCAAATGGAGCCGGGCCTTTCACACTCTATAGTGTCATCGGATATTTAAAAAACGGATGCCTTTTGATTAAAGCAGCAGAACACCGGAATTATTGCATCAAGAAATGGTAACTCACCCCACTAGCCGGTGGACTTTCGTCCTGCCTTCTAACACGAATCAGTTCTTCCTCTAAAAAATAATATTGCAAGCAGCTGAATATATTCATTTTCATTTCTGGGGTGTGTGATTAGCAAGCAGAACAGTGTGAGAGCTTCCTTGATCAGTGAATGCAACAACCAATGGCATGCAGCTCCTACTCGGACGAAAATTTCATGCCTTCATCATAACAACTCTAGTGTACGTACCTCCGTTCTAAAGGAAACAAAATGAATGGTTTACAGCGCTGCCTTTTTAATTAAACCATTATTAAAAGAAAACCATTTCAGTATAGAAGGAGTGCGATTGGAAATGATAGCTCCTCCGATGAGATAGAGTAGCACCGATTTTTGAAAATTGCGTAAATGAAACCGACGTCGGGTTATTTGGGTCGGTCTCCATTAACGAATTCGATTAGATAGGCGAGTTTTACTCACGTCGTTGGTTTTCTTCAAACGCCTCAGTGGCTCACCTAGAAATGGAATTGAGGTTTCAGGAACTTGTTTAGCAGAAACTATGTTTCAAGAGTATAGCAGAAAAGATTGAAGTCATTGTGGTATACAATTGCACAAAGAGGAAATTTCGGACAATAGATCTTTTCAGGAGAAAGAGTCAAAGGCGACCTACCGAATGAAACGGTGACGAGAAGCAAGCAGGCGAAAGCCAGCAAACAGAGTCTTCGTGTAGACCCCATGCTGCCGTGTTCGCGTCTGCGCACTGTGCCACACGCTCACCCAGACGAGAGTAGTTCGGCCTACACTGCGAACCGATTGCCGTGGAGCCACCAGCCCCAATCGTAATCAACTCGGTGCGTGTGCACGCGCTCCGGGTGTTGCGGACCTTTTCATTATGTCCTACGCGCGGTGCTGTGTGCAGGCTTGTGCACGCACGTCCGCACTCTGACTGACGTATACTCAACCAATAGGAGGCGAGCATGCAGTAGCACGTTCGCCAACGAAAGCAGGTCATGCCCACTAACCAGCACGGAAAGTAGGACGCTCATGTGCGCCTAGAACGCGCGAAAAATCAATCCATTAGCCGGCCATGCCGATTCAGTTTGTTAATAGAGCTTTCAAATAAATCGATCCCTTTTTACCATTCTTATAGGCAGGACCTAGTGACCTTGATGAGCATGTTTTTACACGGAGTTGGTGTCACTCAATTGGCTAGGTAAGGTCTTTTTGGATGTGTTAGTCCGCCCATTTTGTTGCTGGTGAAGTAAAAGTAGAGCATTTTCTCACATCGCTAACGACATTTGTAATACCAGAGAGAATGTCTCCGTGACGACCAGACAATAATTTTCCTGGGATTTATGAAGGTACCCTTGAACAAGAAGTATTGTAAGCATTATCGAATTGATTGAGGGAAATCAGCAAACCAGTGTTCGGCAACAGCGAATTTCGCATGCTGAGCGAATGACCGCAATCCACTTGGCCTACTTTCACTTGATTGGTGAGTTTCAACTGCACCAATATGAACATTGATCAGAGCATTGTGCCGTGCCGTCACTGGCGCGCCTCAAGGGCGCGGCTGGCGGAAAGAGCACCGCACCGCGGCGTGCCTGCCGCATAGAGCCAAGGTTTCGTGGGTGCGTGCGCGCGCGATCTTGATGAGGGGCGGCGGACGTGGGTGAGAGGTTGGTGCTGGCAAACGGAGAGCTGGTCCACTTCTTGACTGTGCGAACCGGACCATCTGCAGCTGCAGTAGGGGTTCGGAAGGGAATTTCCTACGCCCGACAGCATTATGGCGGCCGAACCGTCCCATCGAGGAAAGGCGGCGGTCAGCGGCCGTGAAGAAGACTTTGGAAGATATTCAACGCCAAAAAAGAGGCAATGTAGACCTTTGCAACGTCATTACCTCACTGTCATCCTGGCTTTGCTCATCGTCTTCGCCTGCCTTCAATCCCCCCTTCTCGTTGCTGCTCAACGTAAGTCAAAAGCCCTTCTTTGGTAGCAACTGTTACTTCTGAGACCGCTTCAGGGGCATCATTGGAAGTTTATTACACCATATGGTTCCGAAATTGCTTTTATTGGGGAGAATTTTGTGTTTTATATAGAGTTACGTCAATTTCAACTCAAATTTGTTTTCTTCAACGCTATTCGGCGGCTAACTCTGGTCGTCCCATACAGCATCGTGATAAGTAAACAGTTGGAATTTGGTAAATAGCCTATTACTGAAATCAGTGCCAGGAAAGTCGCCATCTAAGAGGGCTGCTGCCTTAATTTGAAAATTTCGGAAATTCTGTGAGCAATGAAGCATGTTCTTATTTACTATACCGACGTGGGTTTCACTAGGACGAAATTTTAGGTAACCTATAGCGAAATAAGTTAAACATGAGGAGGTATGATTGAGGTTCTCTATGCATTTCGAATGCGCAGAGGAGGGTCGGACATGTACACTGGAGGACGGGAGAGTGTTGCAGCCAGGGGAAGTGATGTACCAGGCGCGCTCGTGCACAGTCTGCACCTGCAACGGCGACACTGGCGAGGTGGTCTGTGAGCGCCAGACTTGCCCCGCTCTTGACTGTGGCCCCGAGGGCACTCAGCCCGCCGAACCCGGCGAGTGCTGTCCTCGTTGCCGACGTAAGCCTTTTATTCGGTTTTATCTGCAGCAATTCTCCACGGTCAGAAATCATGGCTTGAATTCACTTCTAATCTCAATACCTTCTCCTTTCCCGTTGCCTGCTTCAGCATCTTTGGTATCAGTCTTACGTTCGGGCTTTCATGCCTGATTCTGCAAGTCATACATTTGTTTCATGCAAGATGGTTGTGCCAGATTGTGCAGTGGAGAGGTTGATTGAATTTGAATCCGTAAGGCAGATGAAGGATGGCTTCTGTAGGTTATTAACGACTCCTTGTTCGTTGACTTTCATATGTGTGCTCATTCACTCCAGAAGGTGGGCATTTCCTCTGATTTTAGTGAAGAGTGAGCGAACATCCCAACACGATTGAATAGGAGCCGAAATTGTATCCTTTTTCCGAATAAGATGGTAGTTCATACCATCCGAAGGGAGCTGATTTTAACACATGACGCAGGAATTCCTAAACCTCTGACAGGCGTAAAAGGGTCTGTGGCTCCTGTTAAGTATCGGGTAGGCTCGATTCCACCTAGCCCTCATGGCCACCTCGCCATGAATGTTTGTAGGGACAATGTGACTTGTTGGGCTTTTTCTGCTAATGATACCCTTGAGGATCAGTTGAGGTAGACAAAATGCAAGCTTGTCAGCTTAATGGAATAACAGTTGGTCGACCGTACAACGATAAGGAAGTCCTTGTTGTCAATTAACAGGGGGCGATCCCGATTATTTTCACAATGTCGATCATTTTTAAACATTTGCTCATATTTGATTCTCCTGCCTTACTTTAACTGATCAGTGTGATTTTTTTCCTTTAAAACATTAGGTGAAAAACGTCAAGTAAGTTGGTGTTTGCATGAGTCCACGTTGACCCATATACGTACGTAATCATAGTTACTTTAATGCTGTTATTGTTGTGCTTGAATGTAGTTCACTGACAATAAGGGAAGTGATTAAAATATTCCTCATGGTTTGGCATGATGCACAAAAGCAGACGATTTGCATGCATGCCACCTCTTGGTATGCTTACATCTAGCCATTCTTCTAATTCACTGTCAGGTACGAACAACACCGATGAGCACACCTCGTACCTATACTAGGGAGGTGACGACGGAGCCTACGACAAACCCCACTACCACCACCACGCCAAGACCTACGCCACCACCGATTATGGGACCCCCAGGACCCCCAGGACCTCCAGGACCTCCGGGACCTCCTGGTCCTCCTGGCGACCCCGGAATGGATGGGGAACACGGCGTTCCTGGTCCACCTGGACCTCGTGGCCCGGTAGGCATCCTTTCCCGATTTCCTCCCTCAAAGTGGATTTAAATCCCTCATTCCTTGTCCGCAAAAGCATCGTTTCAGACATTGACGCCACCCCAACAGCAATTTTCGCACCAGCCTTAAAGGCTAATTGTACTTGTAGTAGATGTTCTTTTTTGCACCGCACTTGGATGCATTAAACCGCCTGTGTCGAATGCACTTCTAAAAGTGGGCTGAAGTCATGCATTTACCGAACCCCTATTCAACTTTTGAAATGGGTCCACTATGATGGCGAAAGTTTGTTCAAAAGAATTACAGAACTTAATATTGATAGGAGCAGTTAGTGAAACCTGCGATTCATAGAATTGTGTTTCACAAAACTTGTTAACAATTCTCATTTCTTCTTTTACTTTAGCCACCACCAGAACTGGAAGATTACTTAAAGCGTCAGCGTGCCATGACCAAAGGTCCAGACGCCAGAGAAGTTTCTGCATACCAAGAACTTCAGCTTACTTCCGTGTGTATCCTTAAATCTTGCATATAATTTACCTTCTTGTAAAAGATGATAACACTGATATCGCCCTCTTTTCATCAAATAGGGTCCGCCGGGAGAGCAAGGCGTTCAGGGTCCTGCCGGCCCGGTCGGTATTCCTGGTCCTCCGGGTCCAACCGGGTCAGTAGGAGACATTGGCCTTGCCGGTCCAACGGGCTCTCGGGGTCCACCCGGACCCATGGGCGAGTTGGGCGCTGAGGGAGAGCCCGGTCGAAATGGGATTAAGGGTCCACGTGGCCCGATGGGTCCAGTCGGTCTCCCTGGAGATCCAGGACCCAAGGGCCCTACAGGAATGCGCGGCGAGATGGGGGAACCCGGCAATCCCGGTCCTAAGGGTAAAGCTGGAGACCAGGGAAGAAGGGGTCTAACCGGACCTATGGGACCTAAGGGTGCTATCGGTCTTCGTGGACCTCTAGGAAAACCTGGACCTCGTGGTGTTTCAGGACCCCAAGGGCCCAGGGTAGATCTAAAATGATGAAAGAAGTTAGCAACTTTAGTTTTCAGCTTATTATCACTTATTTCGTCACCTTAGGGCGTTGACGGACCTACCGGTGCTCAAGGTCCTACCGGTGAGCGTGGTGAGCAGGGAATGATGGGTCCAATGGGCTTTCAAGGTCCGGAAGGACCTAAGGGTGTCCCAGGTCCAATCGGTCCCAAGGGAGAACCCGGCTTTCAGGGTCCGCCTGGAGCTCGTGGTCTTCCAGGTCTTACTGGTCCACCTGGAAAGCAAGGAAAAATGGGGCCGTCTGGTATTCGAGGCGTGAAGGGTGAGATCGGTTCCCGAGGTCGTATGGGACCTCTTGGAGGCATGGGTCCCCGAGGCTTCCCAGGCGCTGACGGTGAGGAGGGACCCCCTGGAGCAAAGGGTCCTGAAGGTGCCCAAGGTCTTCAGGGATCTCAGGGTCAGCCAGGTCCTGAGGGTCTCAAGGGTCCTCCTGGGGAACAAGGACCACCCGGACCCCAGGGTCCTACTGGAAAACGTGGCCCACGGGGAGACATTGGCCCGATGGGACCGAAGGGCTTTATTGGTCCTCGTGGATTGCCGGGGTCCAGAGGTCCCCCTGGTCCTGAGGGTCCAGCTGGACCCATTGGTATGATTGGCGATGCTGGTCCTGCTGGACCTGTCGGGCAAAAGGGACATATTGGTGACCCCGGTCCAGCTGGTCCACGAGGTCGGACAGGCTTCAGGGCAAGTTGTCTAGTCTTACACAACATTGGTTAAGCTTCCTACATAGTTATACTTCAAACGGATTGATTTATTGGTTTTAGGGTCCACGTGGTAAACGCGGAGCTGAAGGTCCTAGCGGCGAGCCAGGTCCAAAAGTGAGTTTCTCGCCTGTGCTACCACTAGTGTCTTTATATTCCATCCTCGATTTTATAACCCATCAAGTCATGCTTTTAACCTTGAGGAGGGAGTTCAAGTCGAGGTTTGACCTTTTCATTTAGTTTGGCCACTTTCAATAATATAAATTGACAGACCGGACGATTGACGTCTTGTTTCAGATAAATGATCCCTATTTTGTGTTTTTTGAGTTATACAAATTTGAAATTTATTGAAATTTGACAATAAAATGGTCCATCTCTCATTGACTTCAGGTAAACTTAATTTTATTATGGCATTCAAACTTACTTTGAATTAGACTTGAAAATAATCTCATCTGTTTGGAATCCAGGGTCCAGTAGGAGCTCCCGGTAAGCCAGGCATCGGTGGTCCCCAGGGCCCTCAGGGTCCAATAGGTCCTCAAGGAGCACAAGGCGCCCGTGGTCCGCCTGGGCCGATTGGTAAAACGGGTGAAGTGGGGCCTGTGGGTCAGCGCGGCCAGCAAGGCGACCGAGGAGCAAGAGGTGAGGCAGGTCCTGTTGGTCCCCACGGACCTCCCGGTGCCAAGGGAGCTCGCGGTCCTGGTGGCAAACGCGGTCCTATGGGACCTGAAGGCCGCGCTGGACAGCAAGGTCCTGAAGGAAGTGTGGGTAAACAAGGTGACCCTGGCCAACCTGGTGAGGCTGGAGACGTGGGTCCCAGAGGTCCGGCGGTGAGTTTATGGCGTGGCAGTTCACGTTTTAGCCTTGAAAACTTATGATTTAGTTTTATAAATGTTTATGACTATGCAATGGCATAAGTGCAGTACCTAGGTGGTACGGAGATCTTAATGAATTAGTAGATTTATTATTAGTGCATTAAATGCTGCGCTTAAGGACTAGCAAGACAGGTAGATAATCATAACAGCAATCTCCTTTATGTGTGCATTTAGATGTGCAATTAGAGATATCATGGTCTGCCTGTATTATTATGACCGGTTGCATTTAAACACATTCCATTGCTAACGTAGGGCGAGCGGGGAGCACCGGGTCCGATGGGGGCCATGGGTTCAGCCGGTGTCCGTGGTGAACGCGGTCCTGCTGGGGACACTGGTCCCGATGGACTTGTCGGTGAACGCGGGGAGAAGGGTGCAATGGGCGAAGTGGGTGCCATCGGCGTGGCTGGACCACCCGGTAACATTGGTCACACTGGTCGTCGTGGGCCCACCGGTTCCATCGGTCCAGTCGGTCCTCGTGGTAACCCTGGTCCTCGCGGTCCTACTGGAGAACGGGGTGATGATGGCCCAGTCGGACCTCAGGGTCCTCAAGGCCGTCCGGGACACAAGGGTCTTCCTGGTGGTCTTGGCAATCCTGGTGATGAGGGCATGCCTGGCGATCAAGGCGAACAGGGTCCGATAGGTGAAATCGGTCCTCCTGGTCCCTCTGGATCACCGGGTGAAGTGGGTCCCAAAGGAATAAAGGGTGACAGAGGGCGTCGTGGTCGACGCGGTGAAACTGGCGACACGGGACCAGTTGGCCCCATCGGCAGACCAGGTCAGAAGGGTCTCCAAGGCATGCAGGGTCGCGAAGGCGATCGTGGATTGCCGGGTGAGATCGGTGACATCGGTGAAACCGGTCCAATGGGTGAGGGCGGTCCTCCAGGTTCGACTGGTGAACCCGGGCCGGTTGGCCTAATTGGGCCTGTGGGACCTCCTGGTCCTAAAGGTGATCCTGGTGATATAGGTCCTGTTGGTCCACCTGGTGTTGATGGCGATCCAGGAGAAGATGGTCCTGAGGGTCCCAGAGGAATGCGTGGAGAAACTGGACCTCCTGTTAGTCTTTTCTTCTATTTACTTTACGCTCAGTTCGATTTTCTTCCATAATCATGTTTTTTATCTTATAGGGCAATCTTGGAACCATTGGACCTGTAGGCTTGATGGGTCCACAAGGAAGAACAGGCCCCATTGGTCCAGCTGGTCCTCCTGGTGAAATGGGAAAAATGGGAGCCACTGTGAGTAAAACTTCCTCTATTTATCCTTTCTTCATGAACGAAATAAAAAACTGTGGATTCCTAACGTTTTACTAGGGTGCTGAAGGACCTCGCGGGCCCCGCGGCCGTCAAGGTTCCACTGGGCCCATTGGGAAGACAGGTGCTCCTGGCCCCACTGGACCCCGCGGTGACATCGGCCCAACAGGATTGGATGGCGAACGCGGTATTCAAGGTCCAGCAGGTCAACAGGGTCCTCCCGGCCCCCCAGGTGAAGCTGGACCACAGGGTCATATAGGAATGCCAGGCATTGCAGGGCCTCGAGGTCCACGTGGACCAACGGGACCAAAGGGAGAACCTGGGCCGGTTGGTAAGCGCGGAGAACCCGGTTTTCAGGGAGTTAGAGGCGAACCAGGAGAACCTGGTGAGCCTGGAGATGTTGGACCTAGGGGTGTTCGCGGTGATCCTGGACCACCCGGAGAGACTGGCCCTCAGGGCAACATGGGCATGATGGGTCAAGACGGTGAACGCGGTCCTATGGGCTCACCTGGTAGAGAGGGTTCTGTTGGTGTTCAAGGGCCTCAGGTTAGCAGAGTGAAACACATTTGACATCGTTTTTGCAAGCTTTTACACTTCACTGATCCTTTCGTTCCTAGGGCCCTGCTGGTCCACGGGGTGACAATGGGCCAAAGGGTGCTGTGGGACCTCCTGGGCCTCCAGGACCACAGGTAGATTTCTACCCAGCTCTCTTTAATAGATTTTATTTTATGCTCATTCGATTCACCACTGTTTCTGCAGGGTCCAGCTGGTCCAGTTGGTTTGCGAGGTGAAGAAGGCCCGCCGGGCGAAGATGGTCCTCCTGGCCCGCAGGTTAGGCTTTTAGGAATCAATGTTCTTATTTTTAACTAATAAGTAGCACTACCTGCGTGTATTTTCTGTGTAACAGGGTCCTCCGGGTCCACCTGGAGACTTTGACACGGCCTTCCAGGGCATCTTCAGACGTCCAGAGAGTGACGGCTTTATGGTAATGAGTGAATCCTCACTCCAATTTATCGCGTCAAAATTCTCTAAAAGTACATAATTTAACTTTCTAGAATGACGAGGGTTACAACATTGACAGTGATGTACCGTTTGAGGATAGAATGCAAGGAGATGCGCCCGAGCCTGACGAATATAACAAGGTATAAATAGAAGACAGTCATCTCGAATTGCTGTGATCCTACATTTTGATACATCACTGCATGACAGCATGAGGAACTTACTAAAAATTTGCACAATCCTTCAACGCTTCGGTCTACCATTCCTTTAGAAGCCAAGTTCTCATAGTTGAATGTCATTATGTAACATGTGCTTTATTTACTACGCTAGAACGTGGACGCCTTCACAGCACTGACGAGCGTCTCCAACCTTATCGACCGTCTTTATAAAGCTTCCGGCACTCAGCGTTACCCTGCTCTGAGTTGCGCTGACCTTCTTCTGCATTTGCCTGATGCTGGTGATGGTAAGGTCTTTCTCACATGTACCCCACTGGATCATCATCAAATGATCATTTAAAATGTTCGCTCCACCTGTTGTGGGTACATGACTGCTAGGTTTTTTAATCTAAGTCAAACAGTGTGAAATGAGTATAAGACGTCTTACCAGATAGGCCCTGCATTTTCCTTGTTTTGGACGGCTGATTCAGATCAGCG